TGCTGTCCTTAATATCTAAATTTGCACGATTATTGTGTTTTTTGTCTGTTTACTGTTTCTTTCCACCAATTATGTGTCTAATAATTACTCCATCTAATATAGTTATTTTTTACTTCCAAGTGTTTGAGAAAAAAACATGATAGATTCACAATATGCTGAATAATACCTGAGCAGCATAATGAAATATAACTATACGTTCTGGCTTTATGAAGCTGTGTTCTTTCAGCTTTATTGCTTCTGACAGAGATGTTTATTGTGCTTGTTAGTGTCTGTAGTTTATGGTGATGCTTGTCTTTCAGCTTTTCCTTGTTTATGTTTCTCTCTTTGCATACTAGAAAAGTTGATAATATTCAATTTTATTCATGCACAACAGAACAGGATAAATCTGATAAATATCTTGCCCACATTCTCGCAATGCATTGAAGTACAAGGATCTCAATTGTTAAGAGACAGAATATAGTTACAATGTTAAAGTATGTCATGTCTTAATGACATATATATGCGCCAATTCGATTTTTGATGAAGTTATAAAGAGGCACAGGACTTTTGTTATCACAAGATTTTGTAAGGTTTTAAAGATTTATGATCGCAAAACTGTTCAGATTTTTGGTCATATGTTGTCTAGATGGTTTAAAGGTGCAGTGTCAGGTGCCATTGACTTTTTTCAGTTTTTCATTATGCTATAATGTTATTCTCTCATCAAAAACATACCTGTAGTGCTGCTTTAGTTATTTCACGCATGTGTGAGAGAACCCTTCCTTGCACTAATCTCCTTCAGACTAGCCAGCAGTAATTAGAAAACACCTGGTGAGCTGATTATTTAAACTATTTCTCAGTGCAATGCTGGTAACAACATTGTTTTTATAACAACCGAAGATAACATAGTTACGTTATTGTGCTGTAAATATAGTTTTTCATATGCCTGGGATAATCCTAATAATGCCTCTTTAAGAAGATACTTCAGTAATGCAGACCTACCTTGCTTGTTGCTGTGTACTGCTGCTCAGATGGTTAAAACATGGCTACTACATGTTTTCCTTGCTTACAGGAAATGGCAAATCTTTCTGTTTCCAGTCAGTCGGCCAATATAACTACAGTTGACAAACAACGTGTGGAATGTCTATGAAACAGGAAACAGGGTAGTCTTTTGAAGACCATTCTGAATATTTGTTATTATGATGATTATTATTATTATTACAGAGCATATCAGAAAAATTAAGAAATATAATATATGAACAAATTCAGATGAACAAACTTTACCTCTAAGATTTTATGCTTTTAAACCACAGATGATTCAAGATGGGCCAGATTCTCTAAAAACTGTGAAATTAGTATCTACTTGGAAGCTGCAGCACAGACTCCATCTTCAATCATTCATAAGCCCACAATAGCAGGGCTCTGCCTCTGATTGACTGGACTTTCAGTCAAACGGAAACAAACAACAGAATAGTAGTTAGTCGTTGTTGTTTCCAGTGGCATCTCCTGGCCATGCTGTCCTGGGCAGCTAAGCTGGCTGTTAAAGGCTGGAATAAGCAGGAAATCTGTGCCAGAGAACAATCGAGCAGGTGACAAAACCGAAAAGAAAAAACCCAATTCAGCAAGTCCCATGTGGTTTCAGCAGCAGCTCCAATGAATGTTCACGAGGTTCTCACAAACATCTGGACTGGTATCCGTTTATAATCTACTGCTCACTCACCTTGGCAGATCTGCCAAAACAGCAACAAATAAAAATAACTATAATTACCAACATATACGAATTTATAAATATTTTTACAACATTGACAAAGAATCTAAAAGTCACATTTCTACAGTTAAATCCTCAAGATTAAATATGAAGTACAAACTCCCCTGATTATGAAATGGATTCTTCCAGAACCTTTAAAAGGTTTGTGGGCCCAGTGGCATATTTAAATCTCAACACACTTAGGAAAGAAGAGACAAAAAAAAGTTTTCTCCACGCCAAATATTACCAGACACATAAAACAGTTGAAGATGGAAGATTTTACTATACCTATCCATTCTATTCAATGTTTTTGTTTACAATACAGGTCTCCATAAGCACCAGCTGGGAAGAAGGTGCCACAGCACAAACACAATGAAAAGCTTCAATATAATTTCAATTTATTCAATGAAACACCCAAACAAACCAACAGATATCCATTACATTGCCCATATATATATAAAAAAACTCCCCTGAGTTTATCATGTGTATCCAAGCCCATGCATTGGGCAGAATCATAGTGAAAGCTCATTTAGTGAAGGTAATTCACAAAAACTTTCAAAGCTGAAGGAGGAAATGAATGCTGATAGAAAAGGGCAAGCAGGAAACTAGACAAGCTAACATGAAGTTGGATGACAGGCTGACAACAACAGAGGATCTGACAGAGGACTGACTGAACTGAGAAGAAGATGTACTTGGAAGGTTGTTACCGGCATGCCACACGGGAGAGCCAATAACCAGCAGAGGGAAGGCACGGAGCTGAGGCACTGCGGAAAAATACAGATAAAAAGAGGGAACACTGTTCACAAAAAATAAGCACAATATGAGTAAATACTAAAGTAGTCAGACATTTAAAAACAACCAAATTCACTGAATTACTGAACACCATAAACAGAGACCAATGTGACTCAACCAAACTCAAAATCCTGCAGATCATGACATCCTATTTTAGTCACTCAATTAGCAGTGAAGCATTAATATTCAGCACAACCATCTATATTAGCTACTGATAGTAAATTAGCAGCTTTTTAATTTCTGTTTTTGCCCAAGTCTGTAATTTTAAGATAATAATCATCTCATTTTATGGCAGCAGAAAAGTAATTGAGGCATTTCTGTTTTAAATAAAAGCAGTTATGTCTTCAGTCTTACATTTTTTACAGCTAAGCCATGGTATTTTTACGTATGTTTATCATGCACTCATAATACTGATTGATACTGAGTTGCATCATGTACTGTAATCATTAATTCTCTACATACCCAAGTGTGCATTTAAAAAATGTTATGGAGGAGCTGGTGTTAACTATGTGCCCAATCATTGAAAAATGTTATTTTAAAAAGTAAAACCGCTCATCAAGGAAAGAAAACAAACTGTGTTCTGATGGTTTCAGCTCAAAATCCAAATGGGACGGATACAAAGGATAGTTCGGTCCTTCGAAACAACAGAATAACTGGGCATACAAACTAAACTATACATTCAGAAATTCCCAATTCATCTCACACTCCTGTAACGTCCTAATTTACTCGTTCAGGAACACAGTCACTAAATGATTCAAGTTGATTGATTCTTAACCCGCAGGAGATTTAAACCATCTGATCACAAGGACCTCCACTCCAAAGGAACAGCTAATGTTACCAGGCGTAGGCGCAAAAGGATCGATGACCTTATTCTTCACATGGTTACACTTCCAAAGCCAGTTAATCACAATGTTCCCCTTTGTTTTACCACAACTCCCTGATAAAAATAATAAGCTGCTGACACGAGCAAAGGGCAGGTTCTTTCTATGCTTCTGCAACTTAAATTAGAGGAAAATAGTCTGATTATTTCATCTCACGAAAGCTTTAGCTATCAATCGATAAAATGACATAAGTGGCTTAAATTCAACCAAGTAAGTTCAAAAACAAAACAGAAGATATTCAAAGAATACTACTAATAATCAACCACGTGTTATTGATCACTTAAACAGTGTGAGGAATTTGTGAAAAAGTGAGAATTATTGTTTGCCAATAATTATTGTTTGTCATGAAAAATATCTTCAGAAATGTTGTGTTGTTTATCCAGACAGGGGGACAAACTGCTGATTTTTACCTGCATTGAATGATTTGGAGAATAATTAATTTAAACCATTTTTTTACATTAGTAAACAGAATTTGTTCTGAAAAAATAAAAAACAAATATCAATACCTGGTATCTCCAAGACGTAGTAACACAGAACTTCCAGCTGAATTTTAGTAAAGTAAATAGCGAATGTGTAGTGATTTGGCTCACTACTTTGCTTGGCCTTCATCATTGTATCAATGGGTGCCACTTGCACATTTTTCTATTGCTTACTTCTATCCTCACTTGAGTAGAAGAGCACACTTATCTTCTGCTAAGCGTAGTGTAAGCACAGTAAGAAAATATTGCTTTATATGGCTGTCTAAAAACACTTCAGTTTGAATCAGGATTAAAGCTTGCTACTCAGACAAAATTATAGGTCTATTTTTAGTTTAATTAAGAAATTTGTGGTACTTTGAATTTCTTTGGTTGACTATCTGGAATACTTCAGCTGCTCAGATGTGTTCGGAGGTTTTCCACGTTAAACATAAATTGTTTGAAACAGTTTGAGTTTAGTAAAACCTTCGTTCTATATGTGAATTATATAATCCATACAAGAACAGCTGACAGAAAATGAGAGATATAACCATATGACATGAGTATACTTTTAAAACATCAATTTATGCCCTCAATAAATCCCTCAAGCCAAACATTTGTTTGTTTGTTCAAGGTATATATTTTAGGAAGACTTATTTATCATAATTTACATGATAAATAAGGAGATAAATATTTGAAACTATCTTAAAATATCTTGCATAAAAATGTTGCTATTATTTTAAAGTGATCAAATTATTAGTTTAAATGTGAAGTGTGATTTCTGTAAGACATTTATCACACAAATAATCTTGATGAGGAAAGCAATCTTAGACAAAACATTTCTAAATCTGGAAAACATGTGAATCCAAAAATTGTAGCATGAACTAATTCTGTCAATCTTTCTCAAATCAAAAGTCCTTTTGTTTTAATGACCTCAGCTCCAAGTGAGAAACACACAGCACCCTTCCCTTTGTCAGTACCTGCCTTCAATATGCAGACAGAAAGTCAACAGAGTCAGTGCAGTTTGATTGTTTTTGATGCTTTCTGTTCATCACTGTTAAAAAAAAAAGGATGTGTTGATTTATCACTATTAACAAAGGAAGCACATGATGCAGCCTCCTCTGATGTTTCTGTCTTCTGTTCCCCCAGGTAGGCTGGTGGGAGAACGGCGTGCTGAGACTTAGATACCCAGCTTGGTCCCGCTACGGACCCTTCCTGAAGCCGCCTGATGATGCCCAGCACCTGCGGGTTGTAACACTGGAGGAAAGGCCATTTGTCATTGTAGAGCTTGCAGATCCTGCTTCAGGAACCTGCATCCGGGACTCTGTTCCCTGCAGACGTCCTCTCAATGCCAGGTTTGAAATAAGTTGCCCTTTTTCTGTTCTAAAGCACTGCAATTTATGTTCATATTAAAACCCTACTAAATTTAAAATGCAACCGAACAAGAAAAATTGTGATGGACTCGGCTTAATCCAGTGATACTGTTGAACTGGGGTTACTTTGATCAAAGCTGCAGTCTTTTCACTCCCTAACCATAATCAATAAGAGACTGCTCATGAGAGGATCAGCAGAATGACTCACATTGTGGAATCAGATATGATCACAGAGGAGCTTTATGGTTCATCAGCACCAGGTGGAATGGCATGCTACACTAAGCCATCAAACCTGTCACAAAGGTCCTTACCACAATATTTATTTTCTCTAACCCATTTCTTTTTAGTTATATTTTCTATTTCTGTTCTCTGCCTTTTATCCCCAGTGCGATTCATGAGGGTGTGGCTCCTCTGAAGCAGTGCTGCAAGGGTTTCTGCATTGACATCCTCAAGCGACTCGCAAAGATCGTCGGCTTCACCTACGACCTCTACTTGGTGACCAACGGGAAGCATGGGAAGAAAATTGATGGCGTTTGGAACGGCATGATTGGAGAGGCAGGTCTTTGACTGTGTGTGCATGAGGATGCCTGCTCTTCACAAGACACAGCTCCAGTGTTGTCATAGCTATAATTAATTAATTTATTTATTTTTTGGGGGTATTTCTCAGAAGATGCTGGTCGATTGGTGTTTTTTATTATTATTTTTTATTTGCTGCCATATAAAATCAAGAAACAGCTCAGATGATAAGAATTACTTCAGCCTTGGAGGGATTTGTTTTGAAACGCAGTTTCACAATCAAACAGCAGATTAAGAGGAGCCAGAAAAAAATCTGCTGGATCAGTTTGTTTATAAGATACTCAACCTATTCTTTGTCCAGTATCTTAATAGCACGCAGGTGCAGTCACTGCTGACTCATGTAGAAAGCAAGGACAGAATTTGCACTTGGACAAATTTAATCAAATGCTCAATAAATTATGGAATATGTTAGAATTTGGTCATTTGTGGATTTGGACCAGCAAATCTGAATCTTTCAAAGTCAATCAAGGTGTAAATATCAGTTAATATTTTTATTTGATGGCTGATTTACTAGGGGGGAAACAGCTAAGTAAACCAAATGGCCCAATGTGAATAAATAGTTGTCTTTTTTGCACAGAGTTATTATTCTCTCATCAGCCTGCAGAATATTTGCCAAAATTGTTGAGGATCGTTAAGTTCTTTTTTCAGAAAATGCAAAATGAGCCTTCCTATTCTTTGTGGTCAGCAGGTGGTTTGACCTTGGAACTCCTTCGTTGATACTCTTTCAAAATCTTTTTTCTTAATTTCAGATCAGAAACTCTACCCCGTTAAAAATTTGATTTTAAACCAAGATATCAGAAAATTTATTTCTTATCTGTTCTTGAATTTCTTAAAATTGAGGCATAATGTGCTGTGTTTTGGGCATCCTTAGCCTGCATCGTGTTGTCAGACAGATTCTGCTTGCGTTTTTCTTTAAAAGCCCAACATACTTCATCTGAAGTGCTGAAATTGACTAGCATTTATGTAGTCGCGTGACAAAAATTGCGTAATTTTGTTTGCTGAGAGGCTTCTGGTGTCATATTCTGGAAAAACATGACACCGGACCCGGGTCGAACTATTTCAGCAGAACTCTGTGGGAAGAGTTGTGTGATTGGTCAGATTGTTGCTGTGATAAATACAGAAATGTGTACAGAAATACACTCGGTACAGCAATTTTGATATTTTACTTCAACTCGTCCGCCTTCACAATCTGGTTTTTGTATCTGCAGGAGGAGACATGAATACTTTTTAAGGAAAATTGCCTGACATTGTGAGAAAATGTGCACATTTGTACAATTTGTCACTAAAAACTACAAAGATTGTCAAATGGCATAAAGTTCCTGGATGGATCCTTAATGCTACAAGTTAGACAGTAACCAGGCTTAAGTGTGGTTAATGCAATTTAATTAAATATTACAGTAAAATGTCATCAATCACAAGTAATGTCTAGCTTAACAGAAGAGATTATTTTTTTACACTGGACCAGGTTGGTGAGGATGGCATTTTTCCTTTGATCAAAAATTATATGTTGAAAACTACTTTTTATATTATTATTTTTGTTACTTTTGTAGAGATGAATTGGTTTGACAGACATATCTGTTGGCGGTTAAACGGGTTTTGACTGCACTGTTTGAACGGCATGTATATCTCCAAGAAGAAATTCTGCACATTTTAGTGCACAAATACAATATGACATATGCCCCCAGCTATTTGTGGTTAGTCATTGATATTTTCTTGGTCATATAGGTCATGAACCGCCAACAAAACAAGACACAGACATGCTGGTGGAGAAATGGAGGGAAGAGTCGCAGTGAAAAAGGCATGCACACATATATTTAGTACTGGCTCATCTGCTGAAATCAATACAGTGGCTGTGACTTCATTGAAGCTTCCTGCTGTTTCTGTCTCCCAGAAGGAACTTGCCATACGCCATTAGTCATGCGTTTCTATAACAGTTCCACAGTGCTTTCCTCCTCTTTTCGTTTATAACTTGACCATGGGTCAGAGCAGGCAGTCTGATCTATTTTTGCAAGTAAAAAAAAAAAAAAAAAGAAGAAAAGCCACACGTACTTTGTTTTCTCAAGCTAATTTCTGTCATTTTGATCAGCTCCTCCAAAGCCTGCCATTCTTTGATCAGGTAATCCAGAGACTTGCCAAAGTTGAGTGGAGGGGGCTTTGCGTTACACTTCGCCTCAGTTTTCTGCTGATTTGCTCTGAAGAGAGGATGTGCCATGTCTAATGTAGATTAACATTTCGCTCGTACAATCAGCAGACACAGCGGTTTTCAGGTTTTCCTTGATGGTGGCAGAGAGGAGATGGCCCCCGCTCATTCTGTATGCTAAAGAGATGCACAGGAAACGCGTGTTCAATAATTGTACTGCGCTGAAACACTCACTCTCCTCATGCTTGGCTGTACAAAGGGTCAAGGTGCAGAATCGTCAGGGTCTTACTTGGGGAAAAGGTGGTGGGCTGTGAAAGATCGCTTTGTCTGCTGGGAGCAGTTACATGAGTTTGCCATAATTAGATTTCTTTCTCATCGCTGCTGTTGTCCCTTTCAGGTGGTGTACAAGCGGGCGGACATGGCCATCGGCTCGCTGACTATCAATGAGGAGAGGTCCGAGGTCGTGGATTTTTCTGTACCATTCGTGGAGACAGGGATCAGTGTCATGGTCTCCCGTAGCAATGGCACTGTATCACCATCAGCTTTTTTAGGTGAGAGCTTTAGCGTACGGCATTAGCTGATGAGTGGAATCTAATCTAATTGTAAAGTGTTGAGTTTGCACAAAATGCCTTGATCTTTGGTTGCTGGCCTTCACATCTGGATTATTTCTTTTTTTAGCTCCTCATGTCTTCTTAATGTCTTCTTTCACTCTGTCAGCACACTTGAGACCCCAGTGGGAGATCAGTGTTTCTGTTTTCTTGAGTGTTACTGTCTTACTTACTGAATTGAGCAGATCTTAAAAACAGGAAACAGTGTTTATCTACTGAGTGCTATGTTTTCTCCAGTGCTTTTGTTAAGGGAGATTACTGTACATGCAGGTTTTATTACAGTTCCATGTGTTCTCTATTGAATGAATGAACTTGTTTCTTTTTTGTTTCTCCTCACAGAGCCTTATAGTCCAGCGGTGTGGGTGATGATGTTCGTCATGTGCCTCACTGTTGTAGCTGTGACCGTCTTTATTTTTGAATTCTTCAGCCCTGTGGGCTACAACCGCAGTCTGCAAACAGGAAAGAGTGAGTGATAAGTCTTACCTGAATGGATTCAACAAAATATATGAGGATGGATGGATGGATGGATGGACGGACGGACGGACGGACGGACGGACGGACGGACAGAGATAAACTTTGATTACTTTCAAGGAAAAGTGTTTTTCCTCAAGTCCAAAAGTCACTTTCATAATTTATTGATAGTCATATCGTGTGCATTCCCCCAATCCTTCATGTTGAGTTTTGCACATTATACATACAGGATATTGAACTGCATCCAAGTATTCTCAATATTAAAGCAGCCATTTATAATTCAGCAGTGTAGTTTGAATCCTGTGATAGTCGGTGTGCCTGATGCCTTGGTTCAATACCCCCTAGATTTGCCTCCCTTACTCCATGATTGCAGTGCTCTGCATAATTTTACCTCTCTGTCATCCTCCACCATATTTTCCCCGTACCACCCCTCGATCACTCGCTTCCCTTCTTGTCCTTTTTACCACAGCAACTTACATTAGAGCTGGGTATTTCGTTTAATAAATCTTTCCAAAGATTTGGTGCAATAATTTATCTTTCCTGAAAAATTATTGCACCAGAATGAAAAGCAACTACTAATAATGTGTAGTTAATGCAGTATGGCGTATGGTTAAGAAACAAACAGTTTTTTTATGTTTGTTTATGTTTTTATTGTCTTTAACTGTTTTACAGAATTGTGATTAAAATGCTTTCTACACAGTAATGAAAAAAGTCTGGAAAATGAATAAGTATTAGTCTCTTCCTAGCTGTCTAAACGTTTTGCCCTTCTCTTTATTCTTTCCTCATTCCTTGTACACCTCCTCTACTTTCCTATCCTTCCATTTTTAAGTTAAGTGTTAAAAACATTTTAATTACAGTTCCCTTCTCTCTGGGCTAAAAGTGACACAGAGGCAAGTTTCTGTTTGTCTCTTCTCAGCATGGGAGAGAGAGAGCGTATTATTGTGTGTTCATATTCAAAAGACAAAAAATGGCAAAACTAAATCTCCCCCAGCTTAAAGCAATTGCAGCCAAACACACAAGGCTAATAAGGGAGTAAAAATATCTTCAAAGTTCATTATCATACCGCTCTCCTTATTTTTCAGCATGGGATGAAGTTATTGGAATAAAATACAAATTTACTTTACCCTTTTTTTATATATCTTTTCCAGTAGTCAGTAAATGTGAATGGCTGTGCATCTACCAGATATTATGTCTTGTATTTAAAGTTGCTTTGACTTTCTCAAACATTCTTATTTCTGAGCTTTCTAACCATATTTTTTCTCTACTCATTCTGATCAGAGGCAGGAGGGTCCACTTTCACCATCGGAAAATCTGTCTGGCTTTTATGGGCCATTGTCTTCAACAATTCTGTGCCGGTGGAGAACCCGAGAGGAACCACGAGCAAGATCATGGTGCTGATCTGGGCCTTCTTTGCTGTCATCTTTCTGGCCTCTTACACTGCTAACCTGGCTGCCTTCATGATCCAGGAAGAGTACATTGACACAGTTTCAGGCCTCTCGGACAAGAAGGTACCTCACCACTTGAATACTGATTAGGTTTAAAAAAGCAGAAGGAGAATTAATGTCTTCAAGTGAGCCAAATCCTATGCATTTGAATGTTAAATTGATTAAAGCATGGGAATTAAGAAATGAATAGAACCTCATGTAACATAACTCAATTACCACTTTTCCTGGACACACAAAGGATGGTCTTAAATGTTACTGTAAGTCCACAGACTTCTCTCTTTTCATTTTAAGAGGGTAAGTGGTGTAAGTAAGTCTGGAGAGTGGACAGAAATAGGTCAGACAGATTGGTGCACAGCCTGGTGTGTCTCATGCCCCTTCTTTTTCCTCCCTCACCCTCTTTTCCTCTCATAGTTTCAGCATCCAGAGGAGCAGTACCCACCTCTCAAGTTCGGCACGGTGCCCAATGGGAGCACAGAAAAAAACATTCGCTCCAACTATCCAGACATGCACCAGTACATGGGCAAATACAACCAGAGAGGAGTGGAGGACGCCATCCTGAACCTAAAGACTGGGTCTGTTTGCCAATTTTCACACCACATACTCACCTTTAATTTTCCAACCATTGAATTTTAAATTACCCATGCTGTGCAACTTGTTTTGTTTGTCAGTTTATGATCTCTATAAATTGATTTGCACTTTAGACATAGAAGTAAAATCTGAGCAACATGAAAGATGGTGGAGATTAGACCAAAAGACTGCATCTGCATTGTGCATCAGGACATTTTCAGACAGAAACTTGTTTCATTCATTTATTTTGAATTTCAGTCCCAGCCAAGTTATCTGATCCACTATTATTTCCTTTCTTTATGGCTTCTTTCTTTGGAAAAATACAGAAAAAAAGATAAAGGTCTTTGTTACATTATTTGTTTCTCCCATTTTTTAAAAGAAGTAAATCTAATAGTGAGTGGGAAGGGGACCATGTGTGGGTCTGTGAAATCGACATCCCAAGGTGTTGAGAAAGAATGGGCCAACAATGGCAAAAAGCAAAGACGATCAGTCCTCATCACAGATGCAATTATATGAACTTGGATGTGACAGGTTTTACATATTCAGTCCATTTACTCCAAATTGAATAAAATGTATTTATTTGCACCTGGAGTGAATAAGACAGTTTTTCCATTATGAATATATCATGTTCTGAGTCAATAAAAGATGAGCTATGCCAATCCAGCCATCACTGCTCAAATTTTAATGATAATTTATTTTCTTTTTCTTTTTTTATCTGGGAGCCCCCCTTGCTTTTTCTGTAAATCAAATCAAGTTTATTTGTAGAGCACATTTTAGCAACAAATCAGTTCACTCCACTTAACATGATAAATGCATAATACAGCCACCCATTATCAGACAAGCAATATAAATCACAGTTGGTCAAATGCTATTATCAAAATTATCAAAAATAACTATCATCAAATACATCAATGTTATTATTAATGAAAGACAACTCTTGACAAGTGGGATTTTAAACAAACTTGGTGTTTTGGCATTTTTGCAGTTTTCTGGAAGTTTATTCCAGATTATAAAACTGAATGCTGCTTCTCCATGTTTGGTCATGTTGTGGGGATGCAGAGTAGAGTTGAACCAGTAGACTTGATTGGCCTGGAAGATTGATACAATGCAAAAGATCTTTTATATATTTCGTTTCTGATAAGAAACGCATTTTTCTAGTGTTAGTGAGACGTGAGCAGCAGCGTTCTGGATAAGGTGCAGCTTCCTAACTTACTTTTTAGGTAGACCTGTGAAGATAAAGACATGGATGAGTTTCTCAAGATCTTTTTGGAATATTATTTCTAAAATTTTCCACGAAAATGTTCTTCAGATGATAAAAGACGGACTTTGTAATTGTCTTTGAGGGTCCAAGTCAAGGATCGTACACCCAGATTTTGGGCTGACTGATTGCTGACTTTTTCCTCTGCTGGTCCAAAAATTATTGGTTCAGTTTTGTTTCCTGTTCAGCTGAAGACCATTATGGCACATCCATTCATTGATTTGTTTTAGATGTTTGCTTATGAACACCGAAAACTTCAGTGGGTTCATAGTCACTTTGTGTAGTTGTACTGTATAGCTGTGTATCATCTGCATAGCTATGGTAACTAATCATATTTCTTGTCATAGAAACACAATTTCTATGACAAGAAGTGGGAAACTATATCAATTAATCAATAATTGATTTATCAAATAATATTTAACCTCAGTGTATCTGCATGGAAATCAGAACTAAACATAAATATGCAGTTGGCATGCAGGCATTATGAAAATTGTCTAGTGACACAGCAAGACTAGTGGGCAGAGGCTGTGCTAAACATTGATAGAATTACATTATAATTTACTAAGCATCTAAGCTAACACTTATATCTCACCACTGCATTTAGTGTTTTGTTTTAATGTCCTTCAACATGATGACATTGGAAATAAAGGACAGTGCTCAACGACGGCATCAAACATTGAGACAGAAAAGATTATGGAACAGGCTACATAAAGTCAATGGGCAATGATCTTGAATGATAATTTCTGTGATCCTTTTTGAACAGATCCTGTTCAAACATTTTTGATATAACTATCCAAAGATGGAGTCCAGTCATCTGTGCTGTCTCAGCGCACTTTAGCTAATGTGTGTTAAATGTGCTATTTGAAGCATGTTAATTGATTAGACACACCATGGTGCTCACAGTATGCATTCCTCTTTACAATCCCGAATTGCCTATCCATGCAATTAACAGTGTAGAATATACAATTAGATTACCAGATAAACCAGCCTCCCACTGATTATTTGGACATGTTGAAAACTGCTGTCACATGAACGCTCCAGCCTTCATATCATGTATATGAGGCAGAAACAACTCAGATACAACTTAGATGATGCAGCAATGACCCAATAAAACTTATAGATACTTCACTCTACTGCAGAGCGTTAAAGTAAAACTTAAACAGCCACTAGCTGTCACCAGTGGCTGTTACTCATACTACAATTGTTCAGTTATGCAACATAATGCAACATTGATCTGCTGTAATTTCCTAATGAGGGCATCAAAAGCCTTACGCAAATGAACATCACAGGTGTTAATGCCCCACTGAATCACATTCATTTTCTTATATTTAGAAGCACATCAGAGATTTTTTTTTTAATTTTTAAATGCATCATGGCAAGCCAGGAGATGTTTCCATTCTTACATGGATAGAAAATCTGTTATAAGATGGTCACTCATATGCAGTTCACTCTGGTTGTTGTTGGTAAAACTATTTTACTTGGCTTGACAGCCACTTTTAAAACTAAGAAGTAAAACACTATCTCAAACCATTAACATATTAATATTGTTCATAATGGTGTTTTTGTGAAGAAATATGTGTGAACAGTTTGCATTTGTTTAGCTAAATGTTATATCAAAACAACACTTTTCCCTGCACTTCATAAAACTGTTCTGAAGCACAAAGTTTATTCAAACCCTGTCATTAAACTAATACACCTATATTTTTAGACATTCAGAATTGAGCATTTATGCAACAGAGATTTTCACTCATTTTTAATATTTCTACATTAAGGAAACTGTACAAGTGAAGATAGAAAATGCAAATTTACCCCAAAGTAATACTAAGAAACAAATCTGTCATTTGTGCTACAATCTATAATTTGAAGTTGTTTGTAGCTGATATTTTTGGTTAATCTTTCTGTGATTTATGGTGCAGATTGTAGTGATCACAGCAACCAGATGGTGCAGATATAGCCTGCTTTTCTTCCTTGCTTTTTTCATCTTTTATGTTGTCCCATTCACACGAACAGACTATCATCGAGAAAGGCATTCTTTTCAACTCCAACTAACATTTCACATCTTTTGTCACACATCATGCTTTGCTGCACAAATTCTCCCACCTTTGTTCTTTCCCTCTCCACCTTCACCGCTATCTCTCCACACATACAGTGTGAGCAACGTTTCCCTTCTCCAGTTTCCCTGCAGATTTTTCATCACTCGTCATGTGTTGGTTAATCCCAATTTACTTGATCCTAAGCCTCTGTCGTGATCCACACTGCTTTGACACCGCAATTATAACTCAGCGTTAACATGTACTGAATGTATGAAACTCAAGCTTTTCTCCTGGAGGATTTTTTTTTCTGCTGCCTAATGCTTGAGTTTTCTTTTTTTCTTTTTGCTCTTTCGCTGCCCTTTTTGTGCTATAGTTCGTTTCTCCATCTCTTATTTTGATCCATTCTTTCCCCTCCTTGTGTGCTTTCTCTGTGTGTCTGTATTTAAACTTTATAATCCTCATCACTCTCTGCCTCTATCCCATGTCTTTTCCACCCTGAAGTGTGTAAATCTGTCCCCCCTTTCTCTGTCGCTCCCTGTCACTGCACCCTTCATTTCGTAAATCTCCTCAGCCCCCTTTGCCGTCTTCCTCTTGCTCACAGATTCTCACCTGATTTCTCCCTCATTTTATTCTCCTTGTGTTTTCACTCTTGCTGCCAAACCTGCTTTACTATTTCACTCTTTCTGCCTTTCCGTGTTGTTATTTAACGTTTTATGCCCCCTCTATCATTCCTCTTTCCTTGTCTGCTATATATTTTTGCACCCCAGCTGTCTTCCAAGGCACATTGCAGAGATATACCTCCCATCAGTCTCTCCATCCTAGTTCCACCTCTCTTACATTAAATGATGAATGAATTTTGCCTTTACTCTTTCACAGGAAGCTGGATGCTTTTATTTATGATGCTGCAGTATTAAACTATATGGCCAGGAAGGACGAAGGCTGTAAGGTAACGACTGAGGCACAGATACACATTCTTCTGTTTTTATTTCTTTTTGCTTGCCATTATGTGTTTTTCAGTATTTGAATGTTGTCCTTTCTCCAAGGTGATGACCATAGGCTCGGGGAAGGTTTTTGCCACCACAGGCTACGGTATCGCCCTGCACAAAAACTCACGTTGGAAACGTCCTCTTGACTTGGCCCTGCTGCAGCTAGTGGGAGATGGTAAGACCTATAAGGGAAGGTTTTAATGAAAATAATGAGCACCATGACCGGCTTATAGGGAAGGTTATGGCTAAGACAATAAGGTTGAGAAAGGAGTGACAGCCAAGCATGAGGGTAGGGGGTGAACAGAGGACACAGGGGGTAGATGAATGAGAAGATGTCAGGGGGAAAATATGGGGCATGTGACAGCGGAAAGGTGTTTTGATTGTGACAGAGGGCATAATGATGTGTAGGGAAGGGCTGATGAGACTTTTAAAAAGGTTTGTGAGCCTCTTTATTGGGTTGAAGACAGGATGATAAATAAATGGGGGCGAGGAATATTATTTGCTTGGTGGTAAATGTTCTCCTCATCTATCCATTCCTGTGTAGTTGTCTTGCTCTTTTGTGCTTTCCCTTTTCCTCTTCTTGCTATTGCAAAAGAAAAAATGGATTTACTTGAGTGAGTCACAGCTGTAAAAAGTCGCTTCTTGTTTGTTGACAGATTTTCAGAAATACAGATTATTTAAGACTGACAGACAGGCTGAGGGGAAAAAAGAAACACCTGAAATACCCTGATTTGATGGAGCAGCAAACCAATGAAGCATATAGACAAAATACTGTATTAATAATTTATTGATAGCTGTAGTACCTTGCAAAAGTTTTCATACTCCTTGAGTATGTTTGGGTTTTATGCGATATACCAACACCAAGCAGCTTTTCACACCAACAAATTCTTTATTCCTCATTCCTTTTTGCACAATGGTTTAGTCTGCCAGATTGTATAGAGAGCATCGGAGAACATCAATTTTCGATTCTTTCCAGGCTCTCCCTTTGAGTCAGGTCACCCTATTAGATCAATATACATTGATTTAAAGCACTTCAATGCAGCTCTGGCTGTATGTTTAAGATAATGTTCCTGTTAGAAGGTGGACCTCCATATGTCTTCCTGTCAATTCTGAAAAATTTCTCTCTTCCTCCTGATAATGCAAACTTACAGCATGATCTGGCCACCACTGTGATCAACCATGAGGATGGTCTGTTCAGGATGATGTGCATTCTCATCTCTTCCAGTTACCATGAGGTTCTTGGATAGCTTTGAAGTTATTTCCATCTTCAGATAATAGATTGCTTTATAACCTAACCCTCTTTAAAACTTCTCCATATTTTCTTCCCTGACACATTAGTGCACAGAGCCACTTCTGGGGGCTTGTGAATCTGTTTGTTCACTCATGTTCACAGCCTATCAGGAATTATACTGACACAGAACTTAAATCTATTTTCTAATTAGGTGACTTCACCTAATTAGAAACACAGGGGAAAAAAGAAAGTAATGCATTTCTTTGCGTGGTCTAAAACACATAAAATCTACAGATGGTGGAAGTTACTATGTGAAAAAAATGTGACAAAGTTCAAAGCATGTGAATTTTTATGCAAGTCCCTGTATGAGACTATCACAATATGCTGTTGAATTGTATCTACAAGTGGGACACTCATGTTTGACAGAGGGAATCTGTTTTTAGCAACGGTTGTCAGTACACTAATGCTTGATTATGATATAACACAGTCTGCCACACACATTTATTGTCTCCATTGGATGGGGCTTGTTTGGCTTCTACTCATGCTTTAAATCTGCTTTGCTTATGGCATGGCGGACAAAGCCCTTTAGCTGTTTCTGGCATGCCGACGCTTGAGCTGCTTACCCTCTGATAATGCCAATTTGGTGCCAAGATCTATTAAAATAAGACTGGCATCTGGAGCTGAATTGCTCGACCTGGAAATGCGGGCCTGTGTGTGTGCAAGGCAAGGAAAAACAGAGAGCCCACTAGCCCTGACATATGCTGCTTCTTCTCATTCCTTCGGTTTTGTGTTGAAAAAGTCCTGGACATCAGCTGTGTACATGAGTGGATCTAGTTTTTGCAAGGCATTGCCGGAGTAGATTATTAAAGAAGAATTTTAGTTTCTTTGGATGTGGAAAGATTGGAGGAAGGAGCTCACATTCATCATGCCCTTGAAGGCTGCATCTTTTTAACGACATCTGAAGATCTCAGAAGTTGCACCTTTCACCAGACCGAGTTGTGTCACGCAGTTACATCATTATAGCTCCATGCCTTGTGGAGCTGTATCATTTTACCAGTGAATTAAAGGATGTATGAGGACTTTTAAACCCTATAAATCTATTGTTCTTCTTGTTGCTGTCTCTAGTGATTTACACCACTGCTTTAAGAGATGGCGCACTAATCTTACTACATCTTTGCTGTTTTCCTACTTTAAAAGAAAAATAGCTGAATAGTAAGAATCACTCCCCCCTACATTTTATCAAATCCACTCTTTTTTTGCATCCTATCATGACTTTGATTTCTTGCATATATTATTTAGTGAGTAGATATTAAAATGCGAGAAGATGATGTTTCAGCTCTTGGCCAGCAGGATTTATTTTTTAATTTTTTTTCAGAAATCTTGCGATGAATGCAGAGAGGTTTGTCATGGTGAGATAAAAGCGCAGCATTGTACAGGTCATGGTTTACTGCTCAGCAACTGCGAGGCTCAGTGTCTCTGGATGTGTGTGGCATCCAGCCACATCTGGCATACCGCAAAATGCAAACATGCTCGCTGGTGCTTGCACATTTACATATGCAAGCATGCCCACACACAGCCGCTGATACAGTGTCCTTTATTGAACTTCTTTGTGGTAAACGGCAGGCTTTGCATTTCCAATGTTGCCAGCCCTACCTGAGCTTGCCTGCCAGAAACAACATAGGTGGAAAGAGAATGTGATACACCTGTCAGATTTGGCAAGCTTAAGTTGGCTGTGACTGAGAGGTAGGAACAATTGCCATCTCAAAGGTTAAGGTGGTAGGGGTTGGAGGTAAGACCGTAAGAATCAATGGACAGATCTTGCATGAAAAAGGACAGGGTATTATGCTCATCATGCTCACATGGGAACACCAACTCATCAATCGGCAGCAAATAGGGTGCTCAAATATGCTCTTTCTCTCGCTGCCCTGGGCAATGACCACATGGCCCACACAAAAAATGCTGCTGGTGAGAAAAGTCTGAGATTTAAAAGATGAACAACCAGAAATAAACAACACCCGATGCAAGAAAGGAAACAGGTGGCTCAAGAAAATCACTCAGATTTTCTCAGTTGAGCACAGAAATATGATATAATCTGCACCCTTCAGTCAGATCCCTGTTGTTTTCACATTAGTGCACAGAGCCACTTCTGGGGGCCTGTGTGTTATTGCAGTTGTAAAATCTTACACTTAAAAAATGCTGTTAAAGAGCGTGTTCTGTCAGAAAAAGTAAGCCTTAAGGAGAAATGACACGGGAGGTAATTTTTTTTTTCTTCAAAATCTCAATGAACTGCAGCAAAAGCCAGTGTAACAAAAGATGAGGAGGAACTGGGTGATTTGATTATATTATACGTATAATTCATTTTTTCAGCTATATGCCATCCAGATATACTTAGTATGAAACAATGAATAAACGTCTGAGAACGCACCCAATGTCTACTGTTAGAGTCAAACAAGATTTACGATGCCTCGAGTCTGTTTCTCTTTAGATCGAATCAGAAAAAGTTGGAAATACCAGAAATTCAGGAATAAAATAGGCGCTCTGTCAGAAAACCTAAAAAGTGTCATCATCCTGTCTCTCAAAATAACACTGACCCAAAACATGCAGTAAAATCAATACATAAATGATTTACCAGATACAAAATCAATTTTCTTTGATTTCAGTCCAGAGACCTGAATCCTATACAAAACTAAGGTGGGTCAGTGCGGAAGTGAATAGGAAGTGTCAACAATCCTTTTCTCTTTGACTTTGAGGATAAAGATTATGAAGCCACCAATAGTTAAATCTAGAGGTACAGCACAAAAAGAAAAAAAGATAAAAAAACATTAGGTGTCCATTTTCACTGCATTTTTGTGAATATTTCTAAAGTCCTGGCTATTAGTAATAAAAAATAAATGTGCATGCCCCCCTGAAGTTACAATACCGAGAAGAAAAGACCAATTTGAAATTCTGATATGACTTCAGTGCATTCAAAGCTCAGTAAACCTGCATTAATAAACAGTTTATTTTCACTTTTTGTGAATCATTTAAACTTGTACCGCTAACAGCAAGCAGCTTGGTCAGCACTGCAAGAGTTTGCAAAATGTATTGTTTTCCTACTGGTTTAAGATGAGTTTCATGTTAGTCCCAGTTTTAATTTCCACTTCTGATCACAGCCTGAGAACCCATAGGCACTTCTCAGTTTACTATCCTCTGCTTTCAATTCTCCTGAGAGATTTCCAAAATATTCTCTACTCCTCCTCCCTTTTAAGTAGTGTCATGAAGGAAAGATTAATGTGCTGACCTTACTTATTATTTTTGCTGCTTCTGCCTTTTAGTTGATATCAAAATTTCCCCGGAGTCCTCTTGAAGGCAACCCAGGTACCACTAGTGGTCTTTGTACCACAGAACTGAATAATATCTTAATTAATTAAATAGTTTTTTTTTTAGAAATGGGGTTTGTATAAAGATATAGCTGCAGGGTTATCGATATTTGAATTAACATTAATTTTGTTAAAACAAACTAAAGGAATTCTTTCACTCAAGATTAATTTTAAGCAATAACAGAATAATTTATTCGAAGGTTTTTCAAACATCCTTTCCAAGGTGCTATCGAACATGGCTGGCAGTGAGTTTGTATTTGTTTGGTTGTGCCAGAGACATGAAGCTGTTACCTGCGTCTGCCAGTGGGCTGCAGCAGCACTATATCCATCTGTTGCTGTAGCTGGAGGCCACGGCTGATTGGCTAATGATGTTCTACAGAAGACATATTAGCCAGATCACACAGATGACTGAATCGGCTTCAACTAAGCCTTGCAAGCAGAGCTAATGATGGCTGAAATATAAAGCCAAGACCTTTTTTTACGGCGCAGTGTAGTGTTGCGAGTAAATCCATGACCTGTCAGCTTTTAATGCCCACTATTGCCAGTAAAACGTAATATATTTCAGAAAAAGCAACATGCAGTAAAAGCAACCTTCAGGCCTTATTTTTGCAGTGCAGCTTATGCTGGCATAATATTATACCATAAAGCTCTCATAGCCAGTTCTGTGCCTCTTTGATTCAAATGTGAATCATATGCAGCATCCTATGGCTGTCTGTCACTATGGTTACACCAGCAACCCGTGCAGCCAATCACAGTACTTACAGGGAAACCCAGGATTGTTTTGCCAGTTAAATCAAAATGAAAAAACAAGAAGAAAAAAAAAAAGAAAACTGAGTTGTGGTTAAAGAGGCTGTGCTTGGTTCCTTGTAGCGCAAAAGATGGGAATCTTGATTCCTCTCATAGGCCACCACCTGGATGGTGGTTCTGTCCACCCTTCCAGGACATTTCTGTTCTTCTGTGCCTGTTTTTCTTTCCTTTCTCAGACAATTTTCTCTCTAATTCCCATTTTTTCCTTTCCTTTTCTCTCCACTCATACTTTCCATGCCGAGTAGTGCAACATTCTTTGTCACGATGACACAAATTCAGACTCTCATCCTCCATCTATGTTCTGCTTCTTTCAGCAACGTCTAACTCTCTCTGTCTGTCTCATTTCCCCTGACGCCTCCGTGGACGGAGAAAGAATGCCGCTCGCTCTCTGTTTTTACAGGGCATTCTTCCCAACTCTCTCATTACCCCTCACCATCTTGTCCACGCTTGTTCCGCCTATCCAAGCATCACTGTGGCTCCTGGTCTTCCTTTCTGCTTCTCTCTTCATTTACTCTGTTACAATGTTGAGATTAGGTTGTCGATGCCATTTTAGTTCTTGGTCCCACTTCATTGTTTTAGACTCTCCATCCCTCTTTTTCTAAGTCATCGTTGTCTTTGTTATACCAAACAAACTGCTTTATTTTACTGGCCTATGACCATGAACAGTCACCTTGAATAAACAACACCCAACAAGCAGGGCCCCATTCTGCATTGCTTTTTGTTTTTCTTTAAATTCTGTTGATATTCTTCTTTTGCCACCGTTTTTCATTTTATACGATTCAACATCTTAGAATCTAAACAAATTTCTTCACCCAAAGGTGTCCGGTGATAAATGTAGGAAAAATAAATAAAATAAGGAAACTTTCATCAATTAATCTGTATTCCACCCACTTATTCATTCAGCATTTCTATCAACTGCATTGCTGTGCAGTCCCAAAGGATATAAGGCAGTTTCAGAAAATGATCATATTGATTATACCATTGCCTAGACTCCGTTTTATTCTCTCTGCTGGTATTTGCTCAAAGGCACTACATTTTATAATTGCCAATGACTCAACATAGCAATTCTCATTCCAAATATTGAGGCTTTGATCTTAAGAAAACAAATGTGTGAACTAAACTAAGTCTGTAATTGCAGTTTTTGTTGACCCCCTTGGTACCATCATGTCAGTGCAGTCATGATTAGGCATTAGATTGTGTTTGCCCTTTAAACCTAATTATTGCACACTGAATAATACTTAGACCTGAAAGAGGAAGCTAAATTGAACAAAGAGGCAGAAGGACTCACTATCAGCACTTTCTTTGGTAATGTTAAAATCCAGTTAGCCTCTTTGCAATTGTGATCATAAGAGGTTGAAAGCACCACAATGTTCTGATTTAAAAATGATCTTAATTCTGTTTAATTTGTTGTCTAACAAAATAGTTAGTTAAAACATTTGTGTTGTTCTTTCGGTCACTTACCAGTAGAAAGGTCCGAGTGAATTGTTAGAAGCTGCAACATTGGAACAGCAGAAGATCGCTCATGTTAAAAAACTAAAATATATACACAAAAGAAATTTCAAATTGAGTTAATTCAAATAGTTATTTGACCACGATCTTTGAATTAGCTATTATTTTATCCCAGTTTTCTTTGTCTGGGAAATTATTGGGCTCAAAACAGGAAAGGATTTATAGTTAAACTTCACTATTTATTCTATCAAACAACATTTTTCTCCTAACATGACCTTTTTCCACTTCTTTCTCTTGTCTGTTATGCTTTTATTCTTTTATGCTTCTCTGTATTTTCCTTCTTCATCTCGTTTTCCTCCATCATTCTAACCGTTTGTCCTTTATCCATTTTGGTCCCCAGATGAGATTGAAATGCTGGAGCGCCTCTGGCTGTCAGGTATCTGCCATAATGACAAAATTGAGGTGATGAGCAGTAAACTGGACATTGACAACATGGCTGGGGTCTTCTACATGCTTCTGGTGGCTATGGGCCTCAGTCTGCTGGTGTTTGCATGGGAACATTTAGTCTACTGGAAACTGCGCCACTGTATGGCCACTAGTTCTGGGAAGTTGGACTTTCTCTTGGCAATTAGCAGAGTAAGTATTTGTCTGCTATTTGTTTACTTTCACCATTTCTGCATGTCACACTCACTAGCATTTCACATGTCACCATTTTGATGTGAAAGCACAGATATGTCTAAAGTGCAATAATTTTAAAATTCTATATATTTTTGCTGTTTTGACACTGAAAATGTCTCTGATTTGTTGCCATATCTGGAATCAAACGTATTTCGGTGCCAGATACAGTTGATCAGAGTAAATACAAAAAATGTGTCCAAAATAAGGATTTCATTTATAAAGAAAAAGTTATAGAAACCAACTTGGACCTATTTTATTTGAAGATATGTGGAAAAAGATATGCAGTTTTCTACAGATTTTGTAAATACAACCCAATGATTTTGCAGTTTTATTTGCTAAACTTGTTAACTTTTAATAGAACCAGTTTTTGCTGCAATGTATTGTATTATTAAAAATATTTATTTTTAACAGAAAGGCTAAAGCTTGGGCAGATTGGACGTGCAGCACCTGAAAACACTCATTCTCAAATCTTGACACACTTTATCAAAAAAAAAATTTATGTTGATCTCACTGGATTTGGTTCAGTGAATTTTCTTCTACATATTAGGGTGATTTTTGCCAAAATGGAAACAGAATGTTGCTCGACTTTCTTTTAACAATGGCTCTAATTTGTGCAAATTATCCATTAAAAGCAGATTTGCAAAGTGCACACCTTATAGTTGAATCATAAAATCTCCTGCAGAGATCCTGCCTGAGTGGAGGATCTCTAGATGGATCTGCAGCTCTTCCAGAATTACCATGTGTCTCTTGGCTGCTTACGAAATGAATGCTCTCCTTGCCCAGTTTATGTGTTGATAGGCTTACAGTTGTGCCATATTTTTTCCATTTTCATATAATAAATTGAACAGGGTTCTGTTAGATGTTCAAAGCTTTGGACATTGTTTTAAATTGCTTTAAATTTCTCTCAACGTTCATCTCTGATCTGTATCTTGTTTCATTTGAGGATTAGAGGAAAGAGGGCTAAATACAAACTCATGTCACACTTTTCTTATTCTTATTGCAGGACGTGTTGAAAATGATGTTTCTCTCTTTGCACTAGACAGTTGTAGACTAATTTCTGTTGTTCATAACTTAAAATCAACAAATGCATTAATGTTGGTTGATTCATGGCCACACGTGGAAAGGTTCAGAGGAATCTTGTAACACCATAGAAGGCACCGTAGATAAAAAATAAAAACTATTGTGATAGTACCTGTTAATTTAGAAAAATGTGACAGACAGACTTTAGTTCAAACTAGAACATATATTGGAAACAGTATTTTATTTCAGTTTTAACCAGTTCAACTTCTATTGATCCATCACTAAAACTCTGTATATAGACTGTAGCTATGTGTCAATTTTAGGCAACAGTTTGTGGATCTGTATTGTCTTAGAAGTAAATCAGTCAACGTTTCTCTGTCTCTTAGGGCATGTACAGCTGCTGCAGTTTTGAGGATGAAACAGCACCAGGTGGATCTAAATCTTTGCCTTCACACCACCACACAGCAATGGTGACTGTTCCATCACAGCCACATGTAGTTTCAACAACTGTGACCAACCCAGCAATTGCAATGGCGCAACAGCAGCAACAACCACAACAGCAGCAACCACCACCTGTCTACAAAACACCTCTACCAGGCTCTCCTCCCACTGTGGTACATTCTGGGTCAGCTCTGGGTTCTTCTAACCCCCCCATTGCTGGTGCCCCCCTCCCTTGCTCCACTTTCCTGCCTCGATCAGATCGAAGGTTGGCAGTAGTGGATCGCTGGAGGTTGCCTAAAACTGCTACAGCCACCAACCCCATGGCTGTGAGAGGGGGCATCACTGACATGGGGCCGTTTGCTCAGAAAGTTCCACAAAACTGGGCTACAACTGCTGGAGGGGGTGGGGGACTCGATGGCTATAAGAGATATTATGGTCCCATTGACCCTGAGGGACTGGGACCCTGCATGGATCAGCAAGCAGGATCCCAGACCCCCAAGACTATGCCAAGGGGCCACCCCCAGCCCCCTCCAGCAAGTGTGGCCTTCTATTCAGAGAAGAGCATGGACCACGGGGTGGGGAAGAAGGTGGTGGGAGGTGGCGGTGGAGGTCAGGGGAAAGGAGCTGTTAAACCTCTGGGCACCCCCAGGCTGCCTCCTAAGAGTCAGGCCCCTCTACCTCCTACACCTCCACTGCCACATCCCTCTCCCCCTCTCCCTTCATCCTTCTGGAGAAAGCGAAGGCCCAAGAAGCCCAAAGAGCCCGGGGGACCACTTTATGAGAACATTCTGCCTCTAGGGCGAAGGGGAGGAGCAAGAGATGGAATGAGGGAAGGAGGAGGAAGAAGGACCCGCCCGCTTTCTCCTCCACTGTCACTTCCTATACCAGTTCCACTGAGCCCCTCTTATACTCCTCCTTCTCCTTCTGCATCTTTGCACTATACGTCCTCATCCTCCACGTCAACCACCTCATCAACGTCAACGTCTTCATCTGCCTCATCTTCCCGCTCCACCTCTCCCACCTACTCTTACAGCTCCTCCAGGAGCACACGAGACAGGACTGGAGGAATTGATGGAGAGGACGACGACGATGATGAAGATCTGACAGAAGAGTCAAGTCTTCTCCTTGGGAGGGGAAGAGAGAGGGAGCGCTCTATCATTCGACCACGTTCCCTTAGCCACGGGCGCTTGCCACCACCAATTCCCCCTAGGAAACCACGCACATCTTGGGGCGACAGAGAAAGAGAACGAGAAAGGGAACGAGGTGGGAGCCAACTGTCTCAGCTTCAAGAGTGGTGGGCAAGCTGGAGTGAAAGGGAGAGGAGAGGAACAGGTGGAGAAACTGAAAGGCTGAAAAGGGAAAAGAAAAGGAGGAAAGAAAAGGAGAAAGAGAAGAAGAAAAAGAAAAAGAACAAAAAGAGAAAAAAGAGAGAGGAGAGAGAAAGAGAGCGGGAGAGAGAAAGAAAGCGAAGGAAGGTGAAAAAGAAGAAGAAGAAGGCATTAAAAACAAAGAAAAGGAAAAAGTCTACTGGGGGAAAACGATCTGAGCCGGAAGACGGAGATGGAGAACAAGAAAGGGAAGGAGAAGCTGAGAGAGAAAGAGATGAAGGGATACAAGACTACTCTTCTTTTTCTGCCCAGTATGGAAGCACGTTTGGAGAGAAGGGGAGAGATTCATGGGAAGGAGACAGAGAAAGAGGTAGGGGGGAAGATGGAAATGATAGGGACGAGGACAATGGAAGAAGTAGGGAAAGACGTCCCAAATCCTCACGCTCTCATAGACGTCGAACCCCCAATAAGCGCTACTCTAACTCTAATAAATTTCCTGCTTCTGTTAAATTTTGGATGAATGGAAGAGGAGATAACTCCAATACCACTCCAGTATCCCTCCACCCACTTCTTCCATCATCCAAGCGGCGAAAAAGTGGAGGGATTGAGAGAGAAGATAGTACTAGAGTTGGTGAAAGACGTCCTTTGTTAATGCATTATGAAAAAGAGAAAGCACAGACAAGAGAAGGGCTGTCTTTCCATGAATGGGACTCAGATGACGATGATGATGATGATGATGATGATGACGATGATGATGAGGAAGAGAGAGACAGAATGAGGGACCGGGGAGAGGACAGGGCAAGGAGGGTAGGTAGAGGGGCTGTCTCTGAGTCAGAAAGAGACAGAGGAAGGGTGGAGGACAGCTACTCAGATGAGGGTTCTTCAGGAGAATTTGGTCGTTTTGAACGATACTGGGAAGAAAGTGCAGGAGGCACTGGCACTGGGATTGGAGGCATAGGTGGAGGAGGCTGGTTCTTTGGTACCTATCCCTCTAGAGAGAAAGGGGGAAGTATCAATAGTCGAGATGATTCGTTATCGGGAACTCGGGCAGAGGGATGGATTGGTGCTGATTTCTGGGGATCTGGGCCAGGAATAGGTTGGGCATCTGGTGGAGGGAGTGGAGGGCTTGGCTCACAGTGGCCACCACCCCCAACAGCCTTCCCTCCACCTAGAAGATACTGGTCAATGGACAAAATTCCTGTGAAGGGAGAAAAAAAGTGGAAGAGCGGTGGTGGAAAGAGAAAAGGACGAAGCAGGGAAAGACTGGATGAGGGAGGACGATCAACTCTGTGTTCCTGCAGCCTTTTCCCACAGCCCCATCCTTATCCACATCCCCATGGCCGTTCACAAACTTCTAATTCCAAGAGAAGAGCATCAGCACTTTCCCATAGCCAAGAAGAGCTTCTTCCCCACTGCCACAGCTTCAGCGGGGGTTCTCGTCCCAAACCTTTGCCTCCCAAACCAGATTCCAGTCAAGCCAAATCAGGCAGCCAATCTAACCTCAGCCTCAACACACAGCCGACAGACCATCAGCCACAGCCCTCACCATCGCCACCGCAGCAGCCATCTTTGTCACCCACCTCGCTCCCCATGCCCATCGTACCTCCACCCTCCTCAGCCTCTGTCTCGCCACCAGCAGGGGTAGGGATGGCAGGTCCGGCTCAGGCTTCAGCCAGTGCCAAACTCCAATATCAGAGACTGCGCTCTGTGCCTCAGCCACGGAGGTTCTACTCTCCCCACCTACCACTCAAAGCCAAGAGCCTGTGCTCACGTCGAGGGTCAGCCCACTTTTCCAGCCTGGAGAGTGAGGTATGACAGGGGGAGACGAGAGAGGGAGACGTGGGAGCAAGCACTAGTGCTGCTGAAAATCTTGGTGCCATGGCAGCTGGAGACAGGGACGACACCAGAGAAATGGCTGCCTTGGTGACCTTAGGTAATCAGTTAGCAAGCATCACTACAGGAACAAACATGGACAGAGACTCTGTTGCTAACAATACTCTCGGTGAGAGCGACTCTTCTGCCACCCGCTCCATTGTACGCGTTCTTATGAGGGCGACAGTGAGGTGCCACACCAGGGTGAGCTACATCCGTCTGGATGGTTCCTACGATGAAGAGAGTGAAGGTGAGGCTGCATCACCGGGGACTTCGACCCCAGAACTTCTCTTATGCTCTGAACTGAGCTTTGTGATGTCATCTTCGGTCCTTCGCCCCTCCCCAAATCAAAACTGTGGATAACGGTAGTCTCCAACTTGTGAGTAATGATGTCATGTTTGCACACATACACACACACACACCTACACGCATGCATGCACACACACCCACACACGCCTGCACGCACGCAGACACGAAAACACACAATATGCTCAAAACGTCTCCCTCCCTCTGGCTTTGAGTGGAATGAGGAGAGACCCACCTTCTCTCAAAAGAGGCCAGTGTTTGGTCATCATCTGGCTTCCTGTCCTCATTGGCTGATGGCTTTTGACCTGGACTGGTGGACTGCTTCTTGGTGTCTTCTTCCCTTTTTTAAGATAAGCAATGCAGTCACCTCTCGTTCACTTTCTGCCTGCTCACATTTCAATGGACAGTGAGCACAGTGCTACTTATTTGCCTTTTGGCCTCATGATACCATCAGACCCATCTAGCTCTACCCCAGGACCATCTATATGATGTCATGTTTTACTAGATACCCTTTTAACCAGTCAGACTGAACAGAAACTTCTTTTTCTCTACTGCGTTGGAGCTTGTCATGACACCTCTGGTTCAACTGGAAAATATTACTAAGTATTAAAGATTTTGAACAACAAACTCATCAAAAGAGGAATAACAACATGAAGAAAAAAGACATGTAGCAGAATTTCTTTTCATGTCTGTCTATATATTTATTTTTTATTCAGACCTCTCTCCCTAACCCCTCCTTTTTATTCTATTAATATATTTCTCTGACTGTCTTAGTGTTTTAATAAGTAGGAGGCTGGATGTGGCTAGTGTTGGAAGTGGGAATGATTTCCAAAGCAGTGCCAAAATTTCACCCAAATTTTGAACTTCATCACAATCATATTTTTTTCTCTCCACACGTAAGCAACTCTTAGCTCAGCCTAATCTAAGGGAATTTAGGAGTTGATTAATGTAATATCTGTAATTGGCACTAGATGGCTGCATAATATTTAAATACAGTCTTTGAAACCTTGGTGCAGGAAGCTGAAGATCATTCAAGTATCTGTAGATGCATTACAAACAGCAAAGAGGGTGCAGCTTCGGACATAATTGGTTCTATGAAAGTGTCCAGTCAGGGTTTATTCCAACACATTTTCAAGCCCTCTTTAGATTTTAATATATGTTGCCACCATTCTGTGTCCTGGTTGAGCCGGTGGATGATGGATTATCTGAAGCACAATTCCTCATTGTATTTTTTAAGACGTGTTGCCACAAGTGTAAATGCAGGTAACATATTTTGCTGATATAGCTTTAACAATAACAATAAGCTTCACTGTAACCGAGAGTCAAACAGTAAAATACCAAGACACTTATGCTGAGGTAGTCATATGCTTTATCTACTGTCTTTTTTGGCAAATAAGGCAGAACGACTTACTGTGAATGTTTCCAGGTGCGTCCTCAGAAGCTGAGCCTTCATTGAATGCAGTTGATGATGATAACTTGCATTGTCAAGATTTTTAGATGGCTATTTGACTTAAAGCAATATTCCCATCTTTAATATGACAGGGATGCAATGGCACATCATTCTATTTGCTTTTTGTCTGATTTAAGCAAGATAAGCTGTTTGACACAAGAGGTAAAATTAACCATATCTTCATTCGTAGTTAATATGTAACTAGTTAAGCCCTACCTCACGCTAATCTGGATATTTTTCTGTTTCTGCACCTCCCGTACACTTGCAGACACCTTTTTGTGAAAAAAATAGTGACTCTTAAGCATTGCAACAGGGCCCACTTTGAACCTGCAAAAAAGAAAAAGAAACACATAGGCAGTGGAGCATTTTTTTTTCTAATGGAATATGTCATATATAAATATATCTGTCTCGTTTTTTCTTGACTCTTCTTCCATTAAATGTCAAATGTAACTGAGAGGAACGGGTAAACAGCTTCACAGAAGACATGACCTGTAATTGTTTAGGTGGATTTTTTAGTCATGCTCAGGTTATTCTTATTTTGAACTTTAGTTATTCTTGATATGCTTATTCCCTCCTGTTAGAGATGCATAGTTATTACAGCGGTTTTGATTAGATTTTTGCAGATGCCATTTTTTTTCTTTGAAATGACAGGAAATATAACTTCTAAAAAAACGACTGAAGTAGGATAATAGGGCCAAAATTTACAGCTCTCAACTTCAATTGACAAATTCTAATAAATTGCTACATGTTAAACACAGGGTAGTGATATGTAGCATGGTACCTTCTGTGCCACAAGCCATCCACCTTTTAGCTGTGCCAGCGCTATTTTCTTAACTTTAGTATATCTACTTCATGTCTCACACTAAGACCAGCCACAGCCCAGCCATTCGTCTATTGTAGTTGAATGTAGCGTTGAACTGATGTAGCAAAAGAACATCTACTTACTTTATAGCTTCTTTTTTTTTTATTTGGATGCTGTTTATAAAGGCTTAAAGGACGGGACAAAGGGGAGGGAAATGACCTGCCTTGCGAGGGGCTGTGCATCGTGTTTGTGCATGTCGTCACAGATCAGAGGGTTAGTCGACCTTTTCACTTTCCCTTTTTTTCCCACTTCTTTGGCCTTATAGAGGCCAGACTATACCTTTTATCTGCATACGGATTGCTTTTCTTTTGTACCTCTATGTGGGGCAGTTTTTGAAAAAATGTGTTTTAGAGAAATGCGTTTGCTGTTTCCCATCATTTGGAAAAAGTCCCAGACTATTTGCATGATTCACTGAATGAAATTGTCAAGATTTGTAGTTTGAGGGTTGGTTTAGGTCGGGTTGTAGGTATACTAGGAAACCAGGACAGCCACCTTTTGGTGAGATAATAAGCTCGCTCTGCTCTGCACCCCAGCAGCGGAAACCACAGCAACAGCCTGACTGTTTCCTGTGTCATCGAACACAATTATTTCCAACCAATTAACAGGGCTTCAACCTGGTGTGTCATTGAGCATTATCGATTTCCACTGAGGCACTAATACTTAAGTCTGTGACTGCATGAACACAAATGACTCTTAAAAACCCTCTGGCTTATTTTTTATTTATTTAATTTTATGCTGAAAAAAAAAGAATATATTGAAATATACTATGTTTTTGAGAATGTACCATGTTATACTGTGATTTAACTGAGATATTTTATTGTATTCAATCATCATTTGAATTCTATCATTTATCTATAAAGAAATATATATGTACAAATAAATATATACATATATATACATACAGGTATATATATATATATTAGTTCAGTTTGGTATATTTGGAGGAAGTGTTAGATAAAATAGTTTTAATGTTTTAGCTTTGTAGCAATTCTAGACTCTGAAATCATTTTTGAATTTTGATTCCTCCTATATGACTGTGAAGACATTAGTGCCTGTGACAAAAAAGACAAGTAAAAGTCAAAAACTCTATTCATCTGTATCTACTATGGCTATCAGTCCGTCACACCTCTAGTACTACCTAACATTACATTTTCTTGTTTTTTTTTTTTTTGCTTTCTGCTATTTTTCTCTTCTCTTTGGCTGTCTTATTATCAACCAGTGGACCACTCATGTCTTTTAATTTCAGCCACATGCTGGTCACATCTCTTTGTCCATCGACCTTTGTCTTTCTTTCATTTTGGATCATGTTCTTTTTAAATCAAATCATCCCTCTGTCTGTCTCTCACTTAGCAAAAAACAGAGACCAGTAGATACTGTGTTCTTGCTCCTTTTGGACTGATTGTTGATGATGGCAATGATGACGATCAACTCACTGATTGATAAAAACAATTCATGAACAATGTTACTAGTACTGATGTGACTGACGTGTGTATTTGACGACCACACCACTGTAGCAAGTCTGGGCTGTACCGCACCACCAGCAAGCAAGTGGGGCCTCAGTTTTAGGTAATGCAGCCTAAAGTTCTTCATATTATCCACCGTGCTGGTCTAATATGTTTGAACAGTGTTGAGCTTGGTAAATTGGAAGACAAAGTTGAAAAAAAAAAGGCATTCTGAGGGGAAGTATCCAAACTGAAGTGGCAAAATATTCTTACCCCATGAATATTCTCACATTTTGCAACTACAAACAGCTATTAGTTTTAATGGGGATGAATAATGCTTGATGGACCTACAGAAAGCAGTGCATAATTGTGAAGTGGAAAGAGCTTGATAAATGTTTTTTTTTTTTTAGATGTTTTTACAAGTAAGAAATCTGTGCATTTTTTTATTGTCCTTTTTAATCTGATATCCTGAAATAATACCCGGTTTACTGCTACCACAGAGAAGTATTTTTTGGGTTTGTTTCTAGTAGTTTCTGCCCTTGTTTCTTAGCAAAAGAGTTTAATGTCAGCCAGATTGGATGGATAGTGTCTGCGAACATAAAATTTCACGTCTTGCCACAGTTGGATTTAAATTTGGGCTTTGACTAGGCCACTCAAACATGTATGTTTTGATCCAAACCGCTCTATCTGTATGTTCAGGGTCATCATCCTGGTCAAACTCCATTTAAGTCTCAAGTCTTTTGCAGCCTCCAACACCTTTTTCACCCATCAACTCTGACCAGCTTTAATATCCTTGCTGAAGAAAAGCAAGATGTTGCTAATACCATGTGGCACAGCGTGGGCAGTGTGTGAAGTTTTAGTCTGTTCTTTGGTGTTTGTGATGATGCTTGTTTATAAATATTCTCTGACAAACCTCTTAGGCTTGAGGCATTTGGTTGCACTGATTTTTATTAAGGGCTATCAGAGTAAAGGGGGCTGAATACAAAAGCAGGCCACAACTTTCAGGTAAACATTTTGCATCCACTTGTCAACTATGCACTGCTTTTTGTTGGTCAGTCAGATAAAATCCAAGTATAATATTTTGAAGTTTGCAGTTGTATCATGATAGAATATGATCAAGGGCTATGAATACTTTGGCAAGGCATTTCTGCTGAATATACAAATCTAGACTGGACTGGTCATGCATGGAATGTGGTAGACGGTTGGCACATTATAAAAGTATGTTTAATTAGTTAATGCTCTCTTGCATGTTATTCTAGAAGCATTTTTTTTAAATCACAGATGGACTGAAACCAGTCTCTACAAGTTAGCCAGCAGTTTTTTTACTTTGACTGTTTCACATTCAGCAAAGTCATGATTTATTGCATGAGCACAAGTCAACGGTTGACTGCAGCTTGACTTTGCGACGCTCTCTTTTTCTTGCTTTTCATTTCCCACAGTTTCAAAAATGCACACACACACTTTTGCTGTGCATGTTACTACATAATGGACTCATCCGCCAGGATCCTCAACCTCTTAACACTCAGCTGCAATTGAAATTAGTGTCTCGTGTAGTTTGATTAGCCCATATGAGCTTTGCAGAAGCTTAAAAATCATTCGATATCAACTCCAGTTTTTGCCACTGTCCATTAAGTAACATTTAGTCCACCTGAAGGGGCTGAGACCCTTCACAATAAATACACCACTTGTTTTGAGTTGTCAGTCTCTGTTTTTACATACCTTTAGTCTGATGTTTTTCCTTGCCGTTTCTCATACATCAGTTTCTCTTGGGGCTGTCAAAATCAATTTGTTTTCCCATTTCTGTCTTGCTTTCTCTGTAATTCATGTTTTTTGTTGTAATGTGCTCTGATTGATTAGATTATCTCTTTGGTAAAAAGCAAAGTTTTGAACCATCCAGTCCAGTCTAGAACAGTGTGCTCCGGGTCAGTGTAGGACCAGAGTTTCTAAGAGATCCTAATGCAGCCTTAAGCTCATCTTCCTCTCTATCTATCAGCCCATGACCTGTTAACCAATATGTGTAGTGCTCCAGAACTCAAACAGGGTCCTCATAGGCTGAACTGGCCATGAACTATATCAAGGAAACATAGGAGCATCACACATAGCGCCTATCAGGTCTCGGGTGTGCATGCTGCACTGCAGAAAGCTTACTCTGTTGCAGTTGCTGTGAGCGGGGCACATATATCTCCCCACAGAAAGCAGCGTGTGCTCTCCCCATCGTACAAGGCCCAGTTTTGCTCTAGTAACCTTGCCAACACCACAGGCCTACTTACAGGTTGCTACGGCGAGTTGCTAGAAGGGTGATGTCGCTCCTAGCCCAGACTGGTTTGGTCTTTGCCCTATTTCAAATGTGTTAGTTTATTTGACATTGTCTGTCTGGGGTGGGGCTGGAGGGTCAGTGCTGCACTTACTTCCTGAGAATTGCTTCATAAAATATGATTCTCTCTAAATATTGGTAGTAGTGCTGTGTTTCATTCCATTTCTTTTGTCACATGCAATTATGAGTAAGAGTTTTTGTGAATGCGTCTCTGCAGTGTCTGGTTGAACGCGCCTGTTAACCTTGAGAAGGTATTTTCTGTACAAGCTCTTAGTCGTTCAGACAAAAAAAGAATGTCAGGGAAATCAAAGAGTTGTTTCTGTGGTGTTATGACAGTGTGCCAGCATATCCGTGTGTATGTGTGCATGCTTGTAGCAAGATTTTTCAGATGTTTCCAAGTTCTTGACAGACTTTTTTTTCTTTGATCTTGCAAGAGTGGACCAAATATAATCTATTTCTTTTTTTTCCCTCAAAGAGACCGAAGCACTCTCGGCCTGAGAAGTGAGTGACCAAGTCAGAAACACCTGAACATCTTGATGGATGCTACACCACATACATCACACACGTTTTACTAATGAGAGTAAAACATCTTTAGCTTTTACTTTATTGAACAAATGTGTTTCTTTTAATCTGAAAAGAAACAGATGTGTGTGTGTGTGTAAGTATGTTAGTCTGTATGCATGTATGTAAAAAAAAGCAGCTCAATCAAATACTAAAACATGTCTTAATACATACCTGAGACTTCGTAATCAGTCAGAGTGCGGAGGGGATCTTAAATGTGTTTTGTTCTGCTCCCTTTGCGCCTGCGATCCACTAATTAGCCATGCTTTGTTAGTGTGATGGGTGAATGGCTAATTGCATTGTGAGGCCTCCATGTGTACATGCAGTAATGACTTAACGCTCTAATAAGATTGAGATACAGGCAGCTGGATCACAGGCTCCCCAAACACTGATCAGAGGTCAGTACTATGCTTTTTCTCTAATGATAATCATAAGAGAGTGTGGGAGATAAGCTGATCCTTGATCACCCAAAAGGGATTTAGATTGCTTTCATTTGGATCCATCACAAATCTTAGAGGTAAACTTAGATGAATGTGGTGTAATTTTTTAATGTGATTTTTCTGAGTACAGTGCCCTCATTCCCTACTAGAAATTAGATAAACATCTTAAATAAATTAATCTTTTACAACAGAAATGTAAACCCAAACTGGAAGAAATAGAATAATAAAACTTTTAATTTTGGTACATTTATTTTGTGAAGAGGAAAACTATCATATTTAGAAGTATTTGTTTAAACACTTTATCGGTGCAAAGATCATTAATATGTTGTGCGAGCCCTTTTGGCATTTGTACAGACATGTATAATTTCTTATGCTCTCATCTTCTCAGCACTTCACAGGTTGTCTTAAGGCTAGAGACTGAAATGGTCCAAAAGGAAGGTTGATAAAATGTCTAGTGGACAAATGCTGCCTTGATTTGGACATGTGATCTTAACAATTCTCCTGTATGAGCCGTTTTCAGCTCAGTCTTTGATGCCATGAACTCTGACAAATTTCTCAGAACCTTTATAAAAGAAACAAGCCCACAGTATAATTGCATGAGAAGGGCATGAAATGTTTCTACACATATTCTTCATTTGTTTCACCAGTCTGTCCTGCAACAAAACAGCCACACTGCATAATGTTGTCATTCCTATACTTAAAAGTTGGAATAGTCTGCTCAGGCTTGCAATGGGTGTCATAACCAAACACTTACATTTTTGTTTCATCAGACTACAGAATGTAAGTCTTTGTCCCTGATTGTGTCTGCAAACTGCACAATAATCTGGCTTTTTATCTTACTTTTTAAGTCTTCCTCCTGTCTGAGTAGCCTTTCAGTCATGGCGAACATCACTGCAGAAACACAATCTTACAAAGTATGTAGGTCTAGTTTCAAGTGCAACCTCTCTGTACACTTAAGATAAAACAAAATTAATGTACAAGTAATTTTTCAGGAAGATATAGGAGCTTGTTTTAAGTCAATCATTTTTAAATATTTTTATGTGCTAAAATAATTGCACTAGAAACTAGACAAAAGTACTTGGTCATGTTTTGTTTTTTTGCAGTGCATGACTTGTTACATTGTGTTCTCTTACCAGCTTCAGCCAGCGTCTTTAAAATGTATTTTACTTTTGTTCTGGATTGTTGCATCCCAAAACGTTTTTGTCTGTGATATAAAACTGTCTCTTTATTGAATGCTATTATGGTTGGGCATTTCCCTGGTGTTTATACTACTGCAAAATATTTTTGAAAAAATGGAAACGGAGTTTTCTGGCATCGCAAAACCAGACTTATGTCAGTCCTCAATATTCCAGAGTTCCATCTGATCATTTTGTTCTCCAGCTTTCCTCCTTGCTACTGCATCCTCAAGCACTCTGTCATTTCACTTCCAATAAATCTCTCTCTTTTTCCCTCTCTCTTTCTGACAGACACACACACATAACACATGCATTAAAGCAGATACAGTATGAAGTCACACACTCTTGTGACCAGTGTGTGCTGCATTCCTGCTGAGGTGCAGCAGATTGATTCTGTAGTGATCTGCTGCCGGTTCCCTGGGGATTTGTAACGCATGCCTGCAGCACGGGGCTTAACACCCTCACTCTCTCTCCGTCTTTGTCTCTCTAATTTTATCTCGACGGATTGTCTCTTGCTTTGCAGTGCTGTGGCTTCGTCCTCCTGCACCTCGGCACCTTCCATCTGTTTTAGGAATCTGCTGCACACACCCTTCGTCTTTCAAGTTACAGTTGTGTTCTTCCTTATCGTGTTTTACTGTTCTTTTTTGCTAGAGCTTGCTCCTTGCAGTCTCAGAGGCATAGGTTTTTCACTGTATTCTGTTGATTTATTTCCCAATGTTTCTTCCATTGGTTCCCTTTGGCAAACTACACATGATGAATGTAGGCATTTTTTCACATACAAATGTTTATCTTTCTGAAATGTTTCTAAATTCTATATAACTGTCAGCTTGTATTGGCTCGCACTTCACTTTCATGCACTCAGCACATGTGAAAATTATGTTCTGTTTCATTTTCATCATGTGTGCAGGGCCGCGGGCGTCTACAGCTCATCAACTTGATCTCTGGAGTTGGAAAAAACATCCAAGCATCCTTTCATCTCATCCTTTTTATAAGCTATATATCCGGTCTCTTGTTTCTTCTGTTTTCACATGAATCTCACTGGGCCGCAGCCAGAGATAAATGACCGAACGGAGGCTCAGCTGATACCACCAACTTCACTGGTGTGTGAGAAGCAAACATTTCAAATGTGTATGTCCATGTCATTTTTCAATTCATAGTCTGTTATCTAGAACCTTATTCAGTTCAAATTCACAGGAAAAAATACATAAGCAGTGATCCAGGATTACTTTCTGCATTAGCTTAAAACCTCTGGCTTAATGGCTCCTTTCAGTACATAGAAGTGACTAAACATAGCAGCTCTGAGCCAGGAGTCTTTTCCATCAGGAAGGAAAAACAACGAGGGTACACATTGTGACTAATAGTAATGGCTTCATTTATGACAACATTCGTGCTAAGCAAACAGAAAAACTGAGAGTCTTTCGACCATGGTTATGATATACTACACAAAGAAACATTTTCTTACTTATTTTGAAAGTAACTGTAGCCTTAAATGTCTGTCATATAATGCCTGATGGGACTTTTATGCTGGTGCTGGCAGGGTTGTTGATTTCTCTAAATGTTATAGCCAGATGTTGCATTTTGTTGACTCCATAAAGCCGTGATAACTAACAATACAGTTTGTAAATCCTTGATCTTGAAAGTTCATTTGACAGATTGTAAAATAGATTTTGAGTTTCCTCCATTACACATCCAGGCCACTATAATTATTTATGATTCTCCCTTGTTTGTCTTGTGGTGTGTCTGTCTGTGTGCCACCTGCCCAACGGGAATTCATCCTAGAAAACTGGGATGAAGTTTAAGATATCCACAGACTTTACCTTGTTCTCCTCTCGCCTCATTATCCAATCGCCCCCCCTTATCCTGAATTCCCCTGCCCTCTCGCTTTCATCCTTCCCCTCAAGCGCAGTTTGTTCACAACATCCTCTTGCTTCCTGCACCAGACGCTTTAGCAGCCCACAGTTGATGCTTTAAAATTTCTTTAGTGTGATGCTGACTGTGAATGGTGATATGTTTCAATGTGCATGGCTGGTGTGTTTATATAAGCAACCTTCTGGATTGGCTGTGAATTCGGACCATTTATATTGACAGAATCTGACCAAATGTTAGGAAGAGAAATAAATCATCCATTTTTCTGTTGATAAAGGCCAGCATCATAATTTCCTTTACTGGTCCAGGTTTTAATAACAGCATACATTTGTTATGGGTATTTGAGCCAAAAATGTGAGTCTGTGTTTTCTATGAATCATTAAACATGATGCAGACTTTGTTTCTGTTTTTTTTTTTCCATTAGTTTGTTTTTGGCAAGCTAAATGAGCTCTAAATTAACATACAAAACAATTTGTTTGGTCACATTGTGATCAGTTAACCTTCACAAAATGCAGATTCTTTATTTTTTATTTATTTTGATTGCGAAAGTTTAAAAAATATATAATATTTTTTAAACTTTCGCAAACTTTTTTTTTTTACTTTTTTTAAACTAAGCCAGAAACTACACACAAAAACTAATTCAACACTTTCATTAGTTGTTCTAGGTAAATAATTTTTTACGGTTGGTTTTTCTTTTCTTTTTCAAAAAATATTACAACTTGTGATAGAGAATGAAATAAAAAAAATAGCAAAAATAACATTTTGGGGTGAAAACATCTACTTATTTCTTTTATTAAAAATAAAAGAAATACAAATTTATGATTCATGAGTTTTCAGTTCTATTCTATAAAATATGACGGCTCATGACTCCATGAATTACAAGTAGCTGCTCATTGATATTATTTTTTTTTTATTTTTTCATTGGAGTCAAGAAAAACTGCATTAACAGTGGTGTATGAGAAGCTTATAAAAATGACATGAAAGGTATCAGTTGTCAAGACAAGTCCAGATGATCTTAATTGGGGGTGAAAATTAATGTGATTAAAAAACAGCTTTGCACATCAGCAAATTCAATATCATATCAAATAAAGTTGGGTAGGAAACATCCAAAACTGGAAAAGATATAAATTGTCTGAATGCTACATTTGTTCATTTTGTTTTCATTTGGATTTCTGATTTTCCTCTTTTTTTTAAACCACAGCTTCTTGTTCCTAGTTTCTCTTATTCTGCTTTCTCCAGTTCCGCGCCTGATGAATATTCTCAATCAGCTCACCCGTTTCCCTCCACCAGAAGCCCTTCTCGCTAGCCAGTTCTCAGATCCTCTGTGCTACAGACTCCTTGTTCCTGGCATTGCTTTGATTTGGCCTGTGGACCTTCAGTGCCTCAGATTAATTATTAAAGCTTTGTGTTTTTGGTACCACCACCTGCCTGTCTGCCCACTCCTGGTTGCCTGCATTTCGATCTTTCAAAAGCTAATTCGAATAAGATTTCACCTCAACTTGGACTGGTTTGTTGTTTTAGCTTCTTGGGTTTTGAATAAGTTAAAAGTTAGGTAAGGTAAGTCATATTCTCCTATTTTTAGTTATGTGAAATTGAAAGCAGTAAAGCTAAAAATTTAATAACTTGTTGTAAATTAATTCAAAAGCATTAATTGTCATAGTAATATTATTATAATATCATACTAATATCTTGTTAAACTACTACAGTATGTAGCCAATTATTTTGTCATAAATAAAGGGGACTGGATTTCAGGGAAATCCCCTCAAAATATATTTTGGCTGCTGTTACTCATTTTGCTCATGAAGAACACATACGATTTTACAATTTAAAATTTCGTTTAAGACTACAATTTATCTGTTTAAACATATTTTTATAACACCCCCATAAATTATTACACTGTTGGCTAAACGATAATGTGTGAATAAATCAAAAATGTTGATTAAATTGGCCATTTTTACATAATTCATTACAGCAGGATGCTACATAGCTGAAGTTATGTCATAGTGACCTTTTAGGAAGAGGAATAAAGTGTTCATAGTAGAAAGAGGCTAATGACTGTTCCTGCTAGACTCTTTAAAACAAATCTAACTAAAAACGATTACACCAGAGCCAACCAATCATCTTTGTCCTTTTGCATGATGCAGTTGTTAAGCTTGTTGCCATTTTGCTTAAACAAACAACATTCAATTAGATTTACTTAGGCTGCAAACAGTGCCAGTCAGCCTGAACAGCTGAGTAACACCACCAGCGTTATTTCAAAACAACTGCATGAAAATAAAAACAGGCCATTGCAACAGTAACGAAGAGTTGCGTCTTCTGAATAGATGAGGAGCTATCTTTGTGAGGCAGAGCAGAGGGAGTATTTTCTTATTGTCACTGCTGCTATGAGTAGATCTTGGTCAGGCCGCAGCTCGACTGTTCGTCCAGGGGTAGGAGTCTGGACTTATTTCATTAGCATTGTGCCATTTGTATTCTTTGACTCTGTCTCAATGCGGTTTGTTGACATCCAAACCCTGTAAAGTGAATCATACACCAGTCCGAGTTACTTAAGATTAGGAATCTGTCAATGCTGAGTTCCAGTCCAGTATTTTATTAAATTTAATCCAACGAATGCCATGGATGCTTCAAAACTCTGTGGCTTTAAGGTGAAATGAAATATGACTACATGTCATCAGTTTTATACTTTATTTCCCAGGAACATTCTGAATGCTGCAGTCTCCTTTTTTCTTCACAATGGCAGATGTTTGTCACGACAGGTGTTGATGTAGGTGAGCTTCAATAAGTCAACATTTGGTTTACTAAATTAGTTGTGACAGCAGTAAGGAGAGTAGCTATTGGTTGTTGAAGTTGCTTGATGATCACCCAATTTACAATTGACTCTGTGCATCCAAATGTAAAAGATTACTTAGTGTGATACTGCAAAAAAAATTAGTAAAATTAACCCTCAGTTTAAAAAAACAAACATATTTAGCTTCTTTTACTGATTTGTTTTTTAATTTTCAGTAACATTTAGTTTCTCTGTCACACAATAAACCTGTTAAATTTACCACGTGTTGGATCAGATATGGGATCAGATACATTAGCAACAGTGGCAATAGGCAGAGTTGGTCACATGGTCAACATAAAGGGTGAAACAGGCTTAAACTCTAAGTGGAAATGCCAAATTTGAAAAAAAATAATTACTTGAAACATAATGCAGTTTCGCAAGAAAACAAATCTGTCTTGCTAAACATTAGCTGTGAAAAAAAAATGGCAATGCACCTTGCAAAGAGTGCAGATATCAAAATTAGGAAATCAAAGATGTAATAACGAATCCAAATTATTACCTGGGTTAAGATCAGGACATCCCCACATGAGAAAACATATCTGAAAACCAAGAATTGTTATATAGCAACCATCTGCAAATGTTAAACATCCTTACCTTTATAAAGCTGATTTGATTAGCAAAATTGTTTCTCATTTTTGTATACCGCTTCCACATTCAGCCTTGTTATTCCAGCCTTTGTTGCACTGAGAGGCGGGTCAGCAGTAAAACAAATACGAAGGGCAGGCATATTTGCTTCCACACTGAGAGTTTGTAGTCCATGTTGACAGACTATAATCGCTTGCCAAATGTCTCATCTGACTGGCTTTGAGGTTGGTTGCTCTCTTCCAAAAACATAGCAGACCCCACTCTTCATTAACAAAACAAATAGAAATACTCCCTACCAGAAAAACATGATAAACTGGCAAACAGAGCCACTTTGGTCCAGAGCAGACAAATTTAATAGACAGTTATGATGACCACAGACACCACTTCTCCCCTGATTCCAAGAACAACAGTTAGCCAAGTCAATTTACCTTAATTTCTTTGGAGGAGAAAGCCAGCCTGCCGGGTTGAAGCAGCAGCTCGATGCGAATGAGCGCTCGTTACATGATGATAGATGCATGTAATTGCTGAAGTGTTGATTGCTCCCCCCCCCCCAAAAAAAAAAGATTCTATCAGTGCAGAATTTTCTGTTTCATTAAGCCATGGTCAGAAATAATACAACAGCATTCTGTAGACCAAAAAAGAAAGATTGGAGGCCGATGGTAAGGAGCAATTTAGAGACACTTTAGTTTTAATGGTGCTTTATTAAATCTATTATTAATTAATTAATTAATCCTCACTTTTCTGAAGGCCCCTGTCACTGCTTTTAATCGTGCTGGCTGTATCAGTGAGTTTTTGCTGAGTGCGTGCTTTATGTTGTTTAATGCATCACTGGCTGGCTGTGCACCAGCTCACCACTTGCTTTTATGATCAAACACTGGAACCCACGCTTCGTTGGGAATGCAAAAGCGTCCTGATACAGACGCTTTAGAGTCACAGGTGCTGACTCATCTTGCCTGGAGAAGAAATGGAAGCTTTTTGTGTTTTGTTCGTAAAAGTGCTGTTTAACTTCAGTACCTCAGCTGGTATGTTTGTGACAATGTCACTCTTTCCTTTCCCTGTGCATCACTATGCATATGCATCCTCCTCATTTGTTTGTGACAAAGAGGAAGGATATGACTAATCCAAGATTAGGCTGATGGAGAGAGAGAGAGAGTCTTACGAGCCAGAAAATGATGTCAGTAAAGGCGGCTCGTTTGGTGAATGTCTGTGTGCAGGAAAGCCCCTATCATGCCCAATCAGCTGCTGTTTCTGCATGACTAATGCTGAAATAACATATCATTGTCAGACACGGCATGTTCACACAGCTGTTTCATTTTTTTCATCCACAGGCACTCAGCGATAGCCTTTGATGCACATACACACACATTTCTGCACGCAAACTCATCCTTATCTTTCTGGATGACACCATTTTGCTCTCTAACAATCTTGCTAATTATAATTGTTAATTAATTCTCTGCCTGTGTCCTCATCAGGAGACTAATAACCTACATTTCCATTAATTAGACCTTCAACCCCTCGCTCTCTCTCTCAGTCTCTGTGTCCCACACCAATCCACCCCATTGTCCCTCTGCTCGCCTGCCTCTGCTCCCGCCTCACAGGATCTGCTAAGGACCACATCCAGGCATGGACAGTGATTACTCGCGTGGGTGTGTGTGTGTGTGTGTGTTTGTATTTCTGACATTGAGAGGGCAAACACTTGTTCACTCTGTAGGGACTGAAATATGATTTGGTCCAAAACATCTTGAAAGCATTATGTTCTTTAGGCCTAAAGAAATTGACATTGTGGAAATATGGATTGTTTTTCTGTTGAGTTACATGTAAACATTAAAACTCTGCCTCTGTTTGATTTTTGGACCTTAATAAGTTTCCTTAAAGACCCTGGTGTTGAGTTTTATGGACACATGTGATTACACAGCAGTTACTGAAGAGCTGCCATATTTAAAGCTCACCAGCCAACAGAATCTAGTTGGGTTTTAGTTTTTGCTGTCCAAAGCACATGCAATGCCTTGACATCAGCAGGGTTTGTAATTATTGAACAACATGGTGTTCAATCTGAGCCTCTGCCGTTTGGCTCTGTGATGCCAAATATGTCAGTGTCTTGCAGTGCTGGTAACCTCTGCAAGACATAAGACCTGAACATAGAGAGCAGGAATTGTCTCTACCTTACAAAAAAAAAAAAAAAGCAGAGGAGAGGCTTCAATCTTTAATCTTTTACATTCTTGGTTTATTTTTTTTATGTGGAGAGACGTTCAGATTAATTTATACTCTTATTTTTCAAATTTTGTCACCAAAAAAAGTTATTTATTTCTTTGGGAACAAAACAATGCATTATTCTTATTCACCACATGTTACTTCTCTGTCTGTTAATAGTTTGAACCACCCCCACTTACCAGTAGGATTTAGCATTTTCCCACGATGACATTTCCCTGGTTAGAGTGCACAGTCAGAGGCTTCTTTGAGTCTGGTGAAGCATTTCTGACTTATTTTTTCAGAATTCTGAATCTGAACTTTTTCAGGACAGATGTTCATTTGAAATCTCCTGCTGTGCCTTTTAGAAAGATTCCCAGTGCCTTAGGAAGAGAAACTGGCCCACAGCTTTTAGCTGTGACAAGTGTTCACACCTAAAAGCTGTTTTAGGTCTGAACACTTTTGTTCAAAACAATAATTTTTTTAATACACTCCCTCCACCTTACCTTAATAAATACATTCAAATTGCTGCCTGCATTTTAAAAGGCTTGAATATTTAAAAGTTTAATTCCCTCCATCCATTGCTATCGTCTCTATAAATCTTGCTTTACTCCTCCCATTAAATGCTGAACTTATTTGACCGATGACCTTATTTGTAACATTTTTTCTTTGTGTGTGTATATTTACGATCGATAGCCCGCTATCCCCTCTCAGAAGGAAACTACCATTCCCTTTCGGCTCAGATGACCTGGTTTCAGTGCAGAGTGGGGCACTGTTGTGTTTATCACGTCACCACTTGTTCTGATCTCAGATCATTGATATGCAGTAGACATGCTGCCACTGCTCATTCCTCAGGCCTGGTGATCGTCTTGTCATTCAGATCCAAGCTCAGACCAGAACCAAAGTGAACATTCTCTGCCTCTGTTGTTGGATGTTTTCTGGTCCAAGCAGGGCTCTTTCTCTCTCCTTCCTCTTCCTCCTTCTGTTTGGCTCAATAGGAAGTGGGAACCAGTTGGCACTTAAATCTCCATACTGTACTGATTGTGGCAAAATGGCAGCTTCTGCTTCCTCCGTCCTCCTTGTGTGGTTCCCTCACCCTCTCCTGAGAGAAGTAACCCAGATTTCAAAATGAATCGCCGCCTATTCCCCTCAATCCTTCTCCTCTCTCTTTCTCTCTCTCACTCTCTTTCTCTACTTTTACCACCCTCTCTTTCTCTCTTATTCTCTCTCCATCTCTCATCCTCTTCCTCGTAAAACCGAATCAATCTTGGAAAGAGAATACCACCTCTCCATCTCGTACTCCCACTCACCCTGCCTCTGGGTTAAAGGATACATACCACTTCAATCCTGTGTTTGCTTCTTTAAAAACTTGAGCCACTCCAGTTGCCTGTTGCATTCATTTGAAGTTATGTTGTTCTTTTTCTTTTCTTGAGCTGCTTCTCCTCTCCTCGCCATATCTTTTCTGGCTTCTCTACCTCTTTTTTGGGGGTTTGTTTGTTATTTTTGTCTTGTCTGAGTTGACCAGCTACAGGTGCACCTCAAATTTTCAATTCAAGGCATTCAGACGAAGAGTCAAGGACAGGAAGAGGGGACGACTGTTTTTGGCAAGGATTTTCTTTCAAACTAAGGTATTTTAAGTACAGCTTGGTGCACATCTTTAGTATTTTCCATCACGTGTTTGTATCACTAAACCATTTTTAATTGTATTCATCTTTTTTAACTGCTTCTTTGCTGAGACATCATCATTTTATCACTTATTTTTTTAACTCAGTCTTATTTATTTATTCATTGGATCTCATTTGTCATTCAGCTGCATGCAACTCACTTCTTCCATCTAATATTTGCCATTTTGCACTTTTTCTCTGCACGTCCCATTCCCTGCAGACGCCCTCATGTTATTCTGGTCCAAACTTTTCTGCAGAAATAGGACTAATTGCTAATAAGGGCAGGCAGGAAGACGATGAGAAGATGCAGGCTCCAATACTGGAGCAGCTGGTGGGGTGTTGTTGACATGGCAACAGGAGGTAGTTGACATAACGACTGAGGTATGGGTGGGGGTGCGGGTATTCATAGCAAATGAGGGGTGCAGCAGGATGGACTGCCAGTATGTGGGACACACAGCAAGTAGAGCTAATTGTTTAGCTTCTCTGAGTTTCTCAGGAGACTTTTGTCTGTATTTGAATTAACCTTCCTGTCTCGTTCATCATGCCTCTCTCCTTCTTCTTTTCTTTCGTTTTGAACCTGTCGCTCTCTCTGCCATCCTTCCATCACCTTCTTTTTGATCTTTCCCTTCATCGCGCCACTCTGTCTCTGGTCTCTACCCTACATTCCTTCTTCCATTAATATCTCTCCTGTCTCCGCATGACCTATTACGTCCTTTGTCCTCCATGTCCTTGGCCTCCCCTTCTCCCGCCACCCGCCTTCCCCAACAGCAGCTCTCTGCCTCCTCTTCCTGCATCCCACAGACATCATGTCCACGCCGGTGTCCCCATCCGGTGTCTCCCCCCTGATGCTGACGTCCCCCACATCGCCATCCTCCCCGCTGCCCTCTCCCCTGTCCCCTCCGCCCAGGGTGCCTGTGTTTCAGAGGAAGGGAGCGCTCAAACACAAGAGGATTGTCGAGGTGAAAGACCATCAGTTCACAGCACGCTTCTTCAAGCAGCCCACCTTCTGCAGCCACTGCACCGACTTTATATGGTAAATCACACACACAAATTCACACACTGTTGCACATTCACAAAGAAACCACCCCAGCAGATCATATGCTGCCTCCTCAGGCGTCCCAACTCCCAATCTAGTGCTGGCTTTCACCGGTTTTTTTTTCCCTTTTTCTTCAATTCCAGCTGCCAGCTGGAGATACTGCCCACACTGACCTGATGTGTTCACACAACCTCATCTCCACACTGCTGCCTACACCATGCAGTTTGGGAACTTTATGCGCTGTCTCACACAAAGTCCACACAAGCAAAATCCTCCTAGGACTAAGCAAGAATTAATATGAGATTTAATTTTACAATATTGTGGTATTTCATACTACAATATAGCACATTAATAGACTCACCCAGGATTTGTTTTCTAAGTGCTTTCATTATCTCAAAGCATCCAAAACTTTCACTTAATTTTTTTTAATAATACATCCTTTTCAAAAAGTCTGATGACTTTCAAATATGTTTGTAAAAAAACAAAAAATAGCTTTTCAGCCAAAATTATTCATACCCCTGGTACATTTATGTTAAAATCTGTCTTTTATTTGACCATCTTTTCTTTTTTTAAACTAGAAGTAATATTAAGGTTTTAAAGCAGCCACAGTGCCTAAAGATTAGGGTGATGACAACAAGGCATTCCAGCCTTAAAGACTTGGAGCTCATCATCACAGATAAATCGTCAATATACCAGTGGAAATTAGCTAAAAGTGATCAGCAATTAAAAGTAGGGCTTGAATGGTGTCATGTTATCAAAAAATCTCATTAATTATTGAGAACAGTGTAAATAATATTTTATACTGATCTATCAGACATATATATTAATTAGATGTGAATAAAGAGCTTTGTTTAAATTGATTTGTGATTTAGAAGATTTTAGTGTCTTTTGAAAGATACCTGCCTCATTTCATGTCAAAAATAACCTTCTTGGTCAAATGAAAATCATTTTCTGTCTAAACTTGCCAGTATATGAGCAGGTTGTTAACTTTGTAAATTAGATTTCCTTTTTCCACCTAAGTGAACAACATGGATTTATACATTTAAACACACATGTGAAAAATAATTCCATAAAACCCTGAATGCAAACTTTAAAATAATGTGAAAACATTGTAAAAGCTACATATTCAACCATTTACCAACACCGTTCAGTCCAAGCATAAAAACCTCGACTCCCTGATTCTTCAGCTGTTTGCATGCTCCTGTCTCCTTTATTTATTATTCAGCTTTTTGTTTTGAAACCTTCAAACACTTCACATACAACAAAAGCAATTACTCATTACATTAAAAATTATCATTAAAGAACTGAGTGATATACAAATCTAATTACAATGCACGACCACATTTCAGCTTTCTTTTACTCCTAAAACTAATCTTGGGGATATTTCAGCGTTGTCACATGATTCAGTGTCGTCCTTTCTTTTGTAACATTCATAACATGCTAGCATTGTGTTTAGCGTAACCTTCATTTGACTCAGATATTATTTAATTTGCTGTACCTGGAGATCATTCAGTCATGTGATTTAGTCTCATGAAATGAAAATAAGATACTGAACGTAAAAATTACCCACTCAGTTTTATGTTAGCTGTAATTTAGTTCAGTCTAATTTCATGAGGTTTTCTCAAGAACAGATGGTAGAAATATGAAGTGAGATTTTGCCGGTGATGTAAGATGTCCATTTGGCCGGATAGTTAACTACAATTTCCTCAGAACATAAAAAGCTTCCAATTTTTTTTTCTCACCTGGGTCTCTTGACACATTATTGTGTTCTTTGAAGCTTATTTTTGCATATTTTTCACAATGCTATTGTAAATTGCATCTACTTTGGTCAAGTTTTAGGGGGGATTCTTGTAAAATTTAACAAAACAGAAACTTTTATCACTGAGAGTGCTATTAACTTTCTCATTTGTATGTTGAGGACGAAAAATCTGAGAAAATATACCAATCCAAAAACATTTTGCCTTTCAAGCTATAAAAAAGCCTTTTTCTGTCTAAGGACACAGGTGGAGAACAAAATTAAGGGAGAGGGTTAAACGATATTTAAAAGCTTTCAGAGAACTTATAAACTTCTCAAAAAATATAGAGATGGGTTTCAAATTTACAGGTTTTCAGTCAGAAAAGCTGATGATTTTGTTTAAACAAAATTGCATGACACGATCTATTTTCTGTAGCTAAAACAAATTAGCAAAAATTAATCTTGGTACTAAAATTGAATCATATTTGAAATAATAATTGATTCAATACACCGACTTAAGCAAATAATAATAATAATAAATCAAACTAAATCTCACTGTAGCTTATTTGTTGCATTTATTGCTCTGAATCAAATGCCTCTGTCATTCTTTCTTTAACGGGTCTAACACAAGTATAACAAGCTGAGGTTAATAGGTAAATCCAGCTGCTTTACCTGCATGCCACTGAAAGTTGCACCACAATGACTGTATTTTTTTTCCAGATTTCTCCTTTTCATAGTGGCTTTTTTTCAGCCAGCTGGGTAGCAGTGCTCAGTGATGGGTCAGAAAGGGGAAGGGTTTTGTCACTGTCTATCTCAAATAGCTTCAGAACAGTCAGGTCCCTCTTGTTCTTTTTTTATGGGATCTCATTGAGCTGACTTTGAATGGCAGACGCACTATGATGGAAAAGTTCAGCAGAATTGAGAAAAGTCTTTTTAAGACCTTAGTCAATTTTAATTCTAACTTGCATAGTCAGGATGATAAAAAACAGAAACAGAACTGAGCTCAACTATCCAGACTACAACTTTTGAATGTAGTTTGGCCTCCTCATTATTTTTTCAGTGGGTGTTGCTGAACTAAAAAATATTTCACTCTCGAATACCAGCTAGATCAAGCAGGAGTGGCAGGATTGTACACTAACGTGTGTGTGTGTGTGTGTGTGTGTGAGGGGGGGGGGGGGGTGCACGTGTTTTTTTTTTCCTTTTTAGATTTAGAAAATATTTTCAGCAATTTGTAACAGTTTTGTCCTCGAAAATACATTTTAATTAAATTATGTGAAGAATGCAATACAACAAGTTATAAAACAAACTTATAATTCCTGGTGATGAAGAGATGACCTTGACAGTTTTACAAAAACAGTTTCATGGAATTTTTTAATTTTTCTCTGAAAAAGTAGGAGCAGTGAAGTAACGAGCAAACAATTTACAGTCAACCTCTGACACTCTTTAAGCAAACAAACAAACAAAAGAGATACCAAGCTGTGAGTCCGTTCAGTTCGTAGAAGACTTCATGGCAGCCATTTGTGTGTAGAAGAGCTCTTATGCGTGGGCATATGGTGGGGATGTACCATATGTTGATGCAGGGCGCCAACTCTGCCAGCAGCCTCTGGGTATCTTTCAGGACTTTTCCCCAACTGGCTGCTGTCTTTGCTGGCAGCAGCTGAACTTATTTCAGGGTGAAAATTGTCTTCCTTTAAACAAGATGTCAGCGCAGCGGCCCTCACCTGGCTGTCTGAGGCCCCTGGAGGGTTTTTCTGATTAATTAAAAGATTAACGTTATAGTGAATACTTTGTTTTTTTAAGTCAATGTGCAGAATTCAGGAAGACGAATGTCGTCTTTTGCAACTTATTTATTATAACGGAATTATATCTCGGTAACATTTGGAGGAGGTTGAAAACATGATTTTTTAAAAATTCTTTAACAATGCATGATGAATGAGGAAAAACTACAGATCTTACAGAGAAACTGCTTTTCTCTGTGGAAGGAGATAAAAAGCCCATCTTTTCATGTGGAGCATTGGAGTGAAACTAGGTTGGATGCAGCAGTCAATAAGCAAGAGGCAGTGCACGTTCTTGATGGGCTTCCAGTCCATTAAAAGTCCAACACAGCATCACAGAGGACTTGCAACTGTATAGGAACAGAGTCAAGCCTAAACGTCAGTAACTATTTGACTTAATCTGTATGTTTTTGAACTCTGAGCAGTGCAGGCTCTTAATAAGGTCCACATGGGCATATAAACAGCCTTAACAAAGGAGTGCACAGTGAAAACATATTTTAAGAAATACATAGTAATTGTGGCCTGAAGAAGTTTTCTATCGCTGCTGAGTATGTGTTAGTGAGTTGGTGAGTCTGAAGCTCCAAGTGTTAAGTAGGTGTCAGCTTGCTGGGAACAGGGAGACAGGCATTATGCAGGGCTGCACTGCATTTGATCCTGGTCTGGAATTTGACCATTTTCTGCATAAATCTTTTGGGTTTGGGGTCCAGGCGCACCTCTCTTACAAGAATTGCCACAGTGCAGAAGAAAACTTGAGACAACTTTCACACTCTGGAAAGGAATGCATTCATTGGGGTGAAAAAAAGGGCTGTTTTACTGCAAGAAGACGTTATGAATTTTAATATGTGCCATTTAATCACAATCCACGAATGAAAGAAGGTTCCTTATCATGTTCTTTCTGACCCCTAAATTTCTTTTCATGCATTGGATACAATGATACATCCATACATATATGAGCAGGTATGAACAGTAAAAAAAAACAAAAAACTATATAATTTCTGCAATTTTGAAAAGGAGTAGAAAAGGTTAATATTTCCCAGCATAGTGTCTTTACCTGCTGTGCTATACATCAGTACAAACTCTATGTGACGCTATGTGTATGATTTGTAAGTCCAAGGTTCTAAATCCTCGCTGTTTATGGTTTCATTGATGTTGATCAAGATTTAATTAATTTTTAATTGTGTAAATTAAACTCATATTCCCATTTGCCTCGGAAACTCTGTGTCAACAATTCATTGTGTCCATGTTGCTGTGGAAACTCAAGTCAAGTTAAAAAACACAGAGATGCTGCTGCTGTTCAAGAATGCAGCATATCTGTTTGGAAATTAATATTTATGTGGAACAATTGACATAAAAAATTAATTCAACATCGTCTCTGGTGGTACCTTTGGACAGTACATCTAACATGCTTAAATATGTGTCATTACCGTCCACGAGTACAAGACAAATACATAAATATGTTTCCATATTTATTGCTGTTTTCTAAATTGTTTAAATGCTTACCGCGTTGATAAAATGTTAAAACTGTAGCTGTTCCTTCTAAAATGATTCAGCTCACAGAGTCAGATGTTGTCTTTCAATTACAGTTCATGCATTTTAGCATTTCTACATGATTTACACGCTTTTCAGTGCTGAGCAAGTAACTTCGTTTAGTGAAATATGCAAGTGTAACTCAGGTTAGACTTGCAAGTTCAGATGTTACATTTATCCATGTTTAAATTAGACTTACATGTAGCCTCGTTGTTCAGTTACAGCTACAGTGTGTCACTGCATACCTTAAAATGCATAAATGAATCCCCAGTTTATTTAATCATGTAACCCCTTCATATAAAACAAAAATATATGAATATTTGACTTCAGTAGAAATGTTTTCTACTCAATTTTCAAGCCAGTCTTTGCCACTATTCAAGACTTTTGCATTACTGTATGTTGGTCATTTCTAGCCGCAAGCTGTAGTTACCAATTTCCTATTATGTAAACGTAAAATTTTTGTACAAGAAAACAGTAATACATTTATTTTAATTTCCACATGTTTTTTTTTACACCAAACCAAACATAAACGTCTAAAATAGTCACCTCTGATAAAGAAAGAAAAATATTAAAGAGGAAATGAGCGGTAACATCTTGTCTAATTTAATGTGACAGATTACTTGTCATTGTCAGAAAACTCTGAGGACAATTAATAACAAACCAACTTTAATAGATAAATATGGAGGGACCAAATCTCAGAGGCAAGAGTAGACAAATTCCCCCATAGACATAACATATTTTCACCAGTGGTTTATGTTTCCTTTGATGAAATGTTCAGCTCACTTTAACATTCTGCTGACAGTGTGGATGTGGGCAGATGGCAGAGAAGAGGTGGAAAGCTTATCCTAGCATCTTCCCTGAATGGCAGCAGTGAGTTCATTAAGTCCCAGTTGTTTGTGAAATTACCAGTTGTAAAATAGTCAGGTGTGACAGATGGCACCACACAGTGGTTCATACAAAACAAAGACTTTTACATGCTTAGAAGAAAATAGCGATAAAATGCATTCATGTTAAATGTTGCTGACATGTTTTATAACATTTAGTGTTTTTACAATCAGTTGCTTAGTTATAGTTTGTCAATAAAGCAGCTTTGTTAGACTTGTGGATGCCATATTGAAACATTCACTCAAGCATTTTCTCCGACAGCGAGCAGATTATTATTTAATATTAACAATTTATAACACAGCATTTTACTACACATTCAACAGGCCATATCTGCTTTATGGGTTTACATTTAAATGACAGTAATTTGTTTTAATTTGTCCTACTGGAGACTTGTTCAAATAAACTACCTTAACTATCTACTGAAATAATATTTCATGAACTCAGTCAGCAGTTTTGATCCCCTTGACTTCAATTATTTTGCAAATGCTTCAAATAAAGTGTACAGTCTTGGAGAACAGCAGTAATAACAACAATAAACGAGTTAGAGGAAGTCTTAAATGCAAGCTCACTCCGCTTCACCCCCGCACTGCAATATCTTTTAAGGCTTGGTGTGAATGAGCTCCCAGATGCAGCCTGACAGTTGGAAGGCAGTCAGGTGAGCTATCAAACTTTTATTTAACTAAAAGGAAGCTGAGTGTGCTGCAGTGCAGGAAGTCACAAATGGATTAATCCAGAACGAAAGAGAATACAAGCTGACATGATGATGAATAGTACCAGGTGAAACAAAGGCAAGGCGCTGACACCGAATAAAGGAAACTAGGGAGTATTTAGCATGACGGCGGATGAGGACCGACATGATGCACGTGAAGTGATCAGCAAAACAGGAGCAAGAGAGACAAAAACAAGAAAGCAGATCACTGAGAAAATAAGTATATGTAACATAAGATGATCTGTTTTTCTTATGTGTTCAGCAAGCAAACGTCATAAAAACATGTTAAATGAAAAACTTCTTAATGAAATTAGTAATTCACCTTCTATTTTCTAGTATTATATCTGCAGCAGTAGTTTTTAAACATGTAAAAAGTAGCTTGCAAACATATTAATACGTCTTGAATATTGTGACACATCACACTGACAAATATTAATTTATAAGATTTTATTTGCTAGACCAACAAATGTGCAATTAAAGAGTGAAAAATGTTTTTTTTTTTGTTGTTGTTTTTTTTACACCTGAAGGGAATTCAACTATAATGTATGTTTGTTTCAACCCCCTTTGGTCTGATAACCCAAAATAAAATCAGGTGAAATCAATGGTCTTCAGGTATAACCTCGCCAGTAAACCCACTGTTTCATTTAATCACAGAATAAATCCAGCGGTTCTGTGAAAACCTCAGAGAACATAAATAAACAAACAACAATATGGAAACCAAAGCAGAAACGTCAGGAAAGACTCAAAGCAGTGTTGGAACATGGATGGTATAAATATGTCACTGTGGTCTTTTTACTCCATAGTAGGAGCATGCATTTTAAAATGTTAGAATTTAATTCAAGAATGAATCATCAATGAAAAGATTTTAACTGTGAATTAAAAGCAGGTCAGCATGGCCTGGACAAGTGGGTAAGGTGATATTTTAGCATTGTTTCCCATCAGTTTATCGTTCATGCTGTGCCACTTCCAATACTTTAAATACAGCAAAGAATTCTAAGCATTTTTTCAGAAAACTACTGGTGTCTTTGTAAATTTGTTAGCAAGACTTTTCCAAGGAGAAGGTGGTATGTTATCTGATTGGATTTATTCAGTCTATTCAGTAGTTAAATCTAAGATGTATTTCTCCATATAAAAAAAAATTCTCATCAAGCAAAGCAGTGAATTCTCTGTAAATCCATGTCTGGTTTTTTAGCGCCCCCTGCTGGTGAAACACTCATACTGTCCTAGCATCGGGGCTCCAGAGACTTCTGCTGCATGCTGATCAGGGATCAGATCACCTCCTTCAAGCCCATCTTTAATCGTTTCTCAACCAGATGGTGAACTGATTGCTGATCAGTGATCATGGTCAGTTTAAACTCCCATTGGCGCATTTGGTATGATTGTTGTGGAGCTCTCCAGCGTTTGACTTTTTAAACAACCAAATCAACTTGATTCACACCGAGCCGGCTGCTGAATGGACGCTTTGGCCAATCAATGGCTTTAATTATTCAATTAAAGCTCTGAGGAGACACAGGGAGCAAGCCACTGTTTCAGAAGAATTAAGTCTGTGTGCTTCTTCTGTATGACCAAGTCAGCTACTTGGCTGCTTCACAAAAATGCTTTGCGTTTCTTAAGCAACCACTGCTGTTTGTTTGTTTGTTTTTACTTTCTTTTTATATAAAAAGAGTTTGTTGAGGTTGAATGGGACAGTTTCTCATCGAAGAGGAATGAGAGCAGATTGTTTCCGTGTCCTAAGCCATGTGTTTTTCTCCATCAGGGGCATCGGCAAGCAGGGATTCCAGTGTCAAGGTAGAAATTAGCCTGCTGTTTTGTTGCCTGTTATTTTCATTTTCTCTGATATAGCTCTGTGGAAAACTGATAACAATTTTCAGGCTCATCCTCCCTGTTTTCTCCAGTTTGCAGTTTTGTGGTCCATAAAAGATGTCACGAGTTTGTCACCTTCACATGTCCCGGATCTGTGACTGCCCCCAGGCCTGATGTGAGTGTTCCTGTTATCGGCTTCTGCACCTCCATTTATATCCTCAAGTTTCCCACCTTTGCCTGGACTTATGCGGCGCACCGTCATCCACACATTTAGCCTTCCCGCTCGTCCCTGATGGCATGCGTGCATGACTCATCCGTCAATCCGTTCTTCCTCTGCGTCTCATCTGTGACATCTACGCTCATGTCATGTCATCCTGCAAGAGGATGTAGGGAGTTTAAGATAGAGAGGAAGGTTGTGTGGCAGGGAGGGATGCAGGAGGGGGTGAGAAAGACTGATAAGAGTGAGAATTAGACGATGGAGAGAGCAGCAGACTCCTCAGCCCTCCTCGGTGTGGCATCTTGAGGATATTAGGGAGATTTGTCTTTTCCTCAGGAGAAGTGGGGTGACAGCAGTTATTAATAGCAACAAGGGAGGGTATACAGTTTGGGAGAAAAGGTGGTGGAGCAGTTATTAAGAGATGAAAATGAATCATTCCTTCCTGTACAGTAAATACACACTAACAAACTCACAACCTTGCCTGGATGCAGTGAATTTCCTCTCCCAGTGGGGAAATCTAATTGGCTTGTACCATCAGTAGTCATCCACACCATAAATGCATGAAAATGTGTGCATATGCATGAAAATGTGTGCATATGGTTGTGCTGAGTGAATTATTATTATTATTGGTTGTTTGCTTGTTTGTTTTTTCATTCCAGGACTTGAAGAGTCGACACACATTTAAGATCCACACATATTCCAGCCCCACGTTCTGCGATCACTGTGGATCGCTGCTGTACGGACTCATACACCAGGGCATGAAATGTTCCAGTGAGTTTCACCGTCCAGTCTGATCCGCCGCACTGTACTGATATTCCTAATGAGCTGCTGGGTTTAATATCGGTTGACTTTGAAGAAAACGAAAAATTCATCCCTGCGTCTTCAAAGGGAGGGAAAAGGTGAAAAAATGACAGGGAGGTAGATTCTCAAAAAGTTTAACCGAGTAAAACTTTTTGCAAAATGTTCAACATGATCTAATTAATTTTATCTATAAGTGAGAAAAAGCTCTTTTTTTAACCTGAAATAATGTGCAGTCAGCTGCTTCACAGACATGAATAACTCACAAGCTGTGGTTCTGAAACAGTGGTACCTCAGTAAGAGAGCTTGGTGGTGCCCAAAAATATTATAAAATCTGTATGTTTTGTCAGCAAGGGAGAAGTGTAGTTGTTCTCTGAAAGCCATCTGACAAAGTGTCAGATTCTCTGGCTTCTCAGTAAAAGGACTTCCCACCACAGGAATGGTTGTGACGGGAAATTAGTTGTGAAAAGTCAAATTGGATCTCACCCAGCCTATGTTTTACCCTGCAAAACCAAAAAGCAATTGATCACAAAATGGTGATTAATGAATACATTTGTCCTGTGCAATACAATATGTCCAGATTAAATAAATTTTATGATGATTTCTGACAAGCATTTGGACAAATATAGTGAGCTTTCCATTATCATAGTCTAGAAAACATTTTTTTTTTACAAAGCAACATTTTTCTCACAGAAGAAATGTATATTTATTTATTCTGTACACAACATGAACTGATTGCTGTATTCTCAAGGTTAACCAAACAAATAAGGGAAAAACAATACTATTTCATCAATCCAAGGAGTTCAAAAAGGATTTTACATTTCTATATTGTTTGTTTAACACTCTCATGTCTTTTCTGTTCTCACGTATTACAGTTGTTTTGTTTGCGTCTTCTGCACATTAAGGTTGTGATATGAATGTCCATCGGAGATGCGAGACCAGCGTTCCCAGTCTGTGTGGTCAGGATCACACGGAGAAAAGAGGGAGAATCCACCTGACCATCAGAGGAGACAAAGAGGACATCTATGTCACAGGTGAGAGGGGGTGTTGGGTTATACACCAAAATGCACTTTCATCCACATGATGAAAGATTTACTCCCTTTTTATTTGATTTATTCTGTTATGGTCCTGCAGTTCGGGAGGCTCGCAATCTGATGCCCATGGATCCGAATGGTTTGTCAGACCCATATGTGAAACTAAAACTGATTCCAGACCCAAAAAGCCACAGCAAACAGAAGACAAAGACCATCCGCTCAACACTCAATCCTGTCTGGAATGAGAGTTTCACCTTGTGAGTCCCTGCGAAATTTAATCCAATGTGCAAATCTAACAGCAGGAATAAAAATGCTGGAGGAAATGTGCAAATGCGCTGAGATGTATGATGTTTGTTTAAGATATTATTCTGTCCTGTTTGCATCTTGTAAGTCATATAAAACTTAAAACTTCCCCCCTTGAGTTTGAGTTTTGGGTTTCCTCAGCTCAGTGCGAGGCAATCAGTGGGACAGGCGTCTGTCTGTGGAGGTGTGGGACTGGGACCGGACGTCCAGGAATGATTTCATGGGAGCGCTCTCATTCGGTGTCAGCGAGATCTTCAGACGTCCGATATGCGGCTGGTTCAAGCTGCTTGCACAAGATGAGGGGGAATACTACAATATCCCTGTTCCAGATCCAGATCTGCAGGTAGGAGGACATTTGTTGACCTCTGGTCATGATATTTGTTCACAGTGAGATATTTTGTTTCGTAAGCTTTTATGGGTGTATAATTATTGAGACTAAATAAAAACAGTTGCACCTTCTTACATTGTTTCTAGGTCCTGAGTTGTCTGGATTTATTTGATCATTTTTGAGAGCTATACAATGCAATATGTCACAAAATATTTACAACCCATCAAATTTTTAAAAAATTTTTAATCACAAACTTTAGTGTAGTTTCTTAGGATTTCCTGTAATGACTTAATAATGTAGTAGTTTTTTATTTCAACATATATATTTTTTTAAATTAAGATTTAAATCAGTACTTTATAAAGTATCATTGCAGCAGACCCCAAAAGCCCCATGGTGTAATTCTTGCACAACCTTTCACATCTACACACTGTGTTTACTGATTTGGTGACTTCTGTAGCCACTGGTTGTGCACAATTTTATTTAAGGGTATCAGGCAACAGGAGACTGGAAGCATTAGCTCTCCACAATTTTTTGGTTTGTTTTTGTAAATTTTCCATTCTCTTTTCAGCTATTTGCCGATTTGTAACATTAAATCCCAATAGATTAAATTGAATCCACCTCATTGTTACTTTTTGCATCCATGCAGAATTGTTTGACTGAAAGTGGGTAGGGTGTTTTATTTTTTCATGACTACATCCACCAATTCATCTCTCTGCTTATGACCCTCCAGGAACCGCAGCCAGATGCTACAGCGCCCTCTCTGCCTCAGGTGTTGGCCGCCCCGGTGCCAGAGCCTTTTCCCGTGGTCTTGTCTCCGGCCCCTGTCCCGTCCTGCCCGCCCATCCACTCTTCGGGTCCTGGCAAAGTCAGAGTGGGAATCCATGACTTCAATTTTCTCATGGTGCTGGGCAAAGGCAGCTTTGGCAAGGTAACCGCGGTCGAGTCAGAGTCAAAATGTCATCCTCTCTGCACACACTCGGCACCTCTGATCCAACGGTTGCAGGTGATATCAAAGAGGGCACTTGCAATGAAAACAAAAACATTTATTCCTGGCTTTAGAATTCCTCTTATTGTCATGACCTTCAACTGGCATTTCATTTAAAACTCCTGGGAACAATAAGCTTGAACCGATTTCAGCACACATTTTTCATTTATACTTCGGCCCTGATCGTCTCTTCTTCTGCTGAAGGATTCACTTGACCAAGAGTTTTTCTTCCAGCTGGTATATGTCACATAGGCAGCGCACATGGAGTTATTCATTTCAAGGAATACTCTGCCTTCTATTCTCTCTTTAATTCCCCTGTAGATGAAGAACAATGAAGAAATTTTAGTTTTGAGTCCTTTCCCCTCCTCTAAAATCCCCCAGCGTTGTTTCATAACTATCAGAGAGTCCTCAGAGGACAGGGAAAAAAGACTCAACTTACATAAGATGTGTGGGGGAAAAAAAGGAAGAGGAGAGATAGGCCCCGGGGCTGCTGAGTGAGGAAAAGTGAGAATGAAACTGACAGAGATGGAAAGAAACAGAGGAGGATTACTGAGCTGCAGGAAGTAGCAAAATGACCAAGAGAAAACTGGATTACACCGGAAATGAGAAAAAAGTATGTATTGCAGGGATTCGTAAAAGTATGAAGGATGAGGAGTCCATTTTTTTTTTTTTTTTGTGAAGTTGTGTAAAATCACGAGACAAATCAGTAGACACAATCAGAGAGGGACTGCAGCGTTCCTCACTGCGACTTCACACACAATCTTCCGCAAGAAGCTATTTTTGCTGTTGCATTGATTTATAAAATATGAAAAAGTATAATTTTCTCCACCATTCAATTTGAAATGAGATGCTTTATCTCCAGTAGCCAGAAACCCCTTACAGTGCAGCATTGGAGAGTGGCAGCACAATTTTAAACAGGGTTGTTGTCAGCATATTGCCCTGCTCCTGACCGTATCGCTTCACTAAAACCAGTATCATGTGGTTCTCTCGATGTGGAAAATTATAACATCATTAGCAGTCAGAGCTGCCCACAAGCAGCCAATTTCAAATCTCCTCTCAATGTATTTTTAATGTCTGATAATAACCAAAGAGCTGCTTTGCTTTTTTTCATTTATGACATTAATGTTTCTGGAAGTCTTCAGGCACGGCTTCTCTTTGATTAAACCCTTCATTATGCCAGGCTGAGCATACTTCTGTCTCCACAAAGTGATGTACTTGTTCTTCACACATTTTTAATACATTTTCAGCAAGTTGAGCTTTGAGAGGCACTTTATCTAAAAATTTAAGGAGAGAATTTCAACCGTTGTCATACCCCTTAAACTTTTTTTATATTTTGTCAAATTACAACCTCAAACTTTAGTGTACTGAATACATTTTTGAGATTTGATATAATAGACATTCACTTTTACTTCTCAATTGTGCCGTATTTTTTTGTTTGTACTCCTGTTCAGCTAGAGATTACTGAGATAATATGCAAATATTTGTTGTGAAAGCACCTATTAATGACTCAGACAGGGTTTGTTTCTGTTGACTTTCCTCTAAAGATTGGTTGCGCTAGAAAAGTCAGCCTCTGCTGCATTTCCCACTAATCTCCCTGAAAGCCTTTTGAAAAGTGTTTTTTTTTATCTTTCAGACCTCAAATTGACCTCGACAGTTTCTGTTAGCTTCCATTTTTTTAATCACATTATGAAGCAAGGGAAGTGCTCTATGAAAATACTATCTTCTACCATTTTATGGGAGTCAATTATTTTAATATTCACAGTCCCAGGCAGCTGGAATAAGGAGCCATGTTTTAGTTTTAGGAGTATTCATGAAGTCTGACCTGTCCTTGACTAATAGTGGCAATGGGAAAAGCTACAGTCAGAAGCAGCATAGTCTCAAGGGGAGAAATGCATGGGGCTATAGCAATGCGATCAGTTTTGCTCCAGGTTTGGCTTATTTTCTGCACTTGTTTCAAAAAGCAAATAGCTCCAACTACAAGCAGAAACAGAAACATCCATCCAGTCAAGTGCTCTTGTCTTTGCTTCATTCTCTAGACACAAACACAACAAAGATTTGAGACAAAGATTACATTTTTCTAAAATAGTATGAATGTATGAATAGTATGAATAAGTCAGGACCTGGAGGTGCTGACTTATTTGAAACATCAAAATTGCAAAATCACATCAAAAGTGATCCTCCACACTTTATTTACTCAGTGCGAAGAGATGTTTCCTTCCCTTCCCTTTGACTGATTAAGTTGAACAGAGAAAGCAGTGACTAAAGTAAACAACATCAGAGTTTAAAATTCATACAGATAGTCTACACAAATTCAGTATAGCAGGGTTAAGGACCACAGTCCTTTCAAAAACAAAGATTTCCTCTTAATAATGCAAACAACAAAGATACCTCAATGTGCATTAATCATGCAGTGGAGCCAGACAGCGCTACCTTAGAGGCGAATATAGTCTTCCTCATTTACACTCTTGGGGTCAGCAAACACTGAACCTTGATTAGGTGTCGGTTCAATTGATGCTTTTCCACATAAATCTATCGGAATAATAAACCGATTTCTGTGCAACTACATTCTTGTAATTTCACCTAACAAATAAAAGATGTGTTCCTGGTGTCTGTTGTTGAAAGGGGATTGTGCACTTGCTCCATAAATACCAGCCCAACTCAATCTGTTCCCCTGGCTGTTGCATGGTCTCAGTGCAACAGCCAAGCAGAGTCAAATCTAACTAAGTAGTGCAATTTGAACAGATATTCTGATACAGAGCTAATTTATTTGTGTCCTCTTTAATAATAATTCAAAATACAAAGCTATTTGCGCTTTCATCAGTACTGATTTATGCATGGATAGTACATCAGTTAAACGTGGGCATCTTGTGGTCTAGGGTTGCTGTTAGCTCAAAGCTACATTAGGAGCTACATTTAGTTTCATAATTAGAAATACACAGAAACACAGGTTTCCACACACAGCCTCAAAATTGTTTTGTAAATTTCCCCTTCTGTGCCACAAGAGAGAGATGGAAGAATCCAAGAAGATGCAAGGGATACCACAGGCAAACGATTAGCAAAAAGTAAATACAAGGAAAAAAAAAAGAAAACCCAAACAAACTCAAGTATCAGAGGATCGTCCATATAGTGAAGAAACCAGGCAGCCTAAACCCTTGAAGGGTTTAGAAACACAATATTGCGCCTCAATATGGGAAGGAAGAAGAAATCTCATGAGGAAAATTACAGGACTAGCTCAAAAATATCTGTTTATCTTCCAAGCAAAATAAAACATGCAGTGCATTTTTAAACAATCAAAAAAATCAACACAAAAATACAAATATTGACATGTTTTTGAAGTGTGGCACTGCATACCTCAAGTGCATAAAGTGAAATACCTCTATTGTAACTGATCCTGAAGATCATTTCATTTTATAGATTTACATTTTTAGATGATTATTTTACTCCTTCATGCCATAATTTTGCCTCAAAAGCACACTGACAGAACTAGTTTTCTCCCAACTAGAGCACCTTGTCATTCATCACACAATGACCTAAAAACGTGTCGTAGCTAGCAGCAAAGTGTTACAGTACATGTTTAGTTCTAATTATGGTGGCGAATAATTGACTGAGAATCACCTTTTATCTTAAGATAATGACAAATAAAAAACAAAAATAAAACAAGTGGTAGATGCCCCTGATGTTTTGAGTGTGTCATGATTCTTAAATCAGAAACCGTTTAAGGTAAAAACTTATTAACCTTTATACAATTTTAATGGTCACACAACAGCTTTTGTACTTTTGTTTCAAGATATGTTGCTTCATCTGACATGGTCTCTCTTCATCCATCGGTCCTGTTCAGGTGCTGCTGGCCGAAGAGCGAGGCAGCGATCATCTGTTTGCAGTGAAAGTCCTTAAAAAGGACGTTCTCTTCCAGGATGAGGACACGGAGAGCGCTCTGGTGGAGAGGAGGGTTCTGGCGCTCCCCTCCCGTCCCCACTTCCTTACATCGCTCTATTGCGCCTTCCAGACCGAGGTGTGTGTGTATGAAACATATTAGCTTTATTAAATTGTCCATAAATAGGCTTGATATTTGGGCTCTAAGGAGTTGTACCATTGCAGGTTGGGTGCTTTTGCTTTTAATAAATGACAAAATTACCTTGTTCTCTTTAATGAAGTCATTGTTTTTTAAAGCATTGGTTTTAGCTGAGTGCCTTTTATTTTAGAGAATGCAACACTTTCCAAAGCTATGCCTACCAATGTTCAGCATTTTTATATATTACAATAACAAGCTTCATTATATTTTATTGGGTATTTATGTGAATTAGGTCATTCAATTAGTTGCTCTTATTGATACTATTTGTTTCCCTAAACCTAGAACAAACACACAGATATGAAGTCGGTTTATTAAATGATTACATATGGCTGCTGGTTACACTGGATTTAATTTATGGGACTCAGAGTGAAGGTGGCTTATTAATAGGAATGCACGTCATACGTTTAATAATTATATCAATAAAAATGTTTGAAAAGCAACTTTTCCACTACTTGTTGGTCGACCACATATTATCTCAAAGAAATACTTTGTCTTCAAAAGTCTATGTTAATAAAGTGACAATGAAGATAAAATTCAATGAGGCTCTGTATTTGCACTGTGTGTGTTTGTTTCTGTAGGATCGTCTATATTATGTTATGGAATATGTCAACGGTGGAGATCTGATGTTTCACATTCAGCAAGTCGGGAAGTTCAAAGAGCCCCATGCGGCGTATGTAGTCCGATAAAGTCTAGCTTTGATCTCCACCTTCATCTACACAAGTCTCATTACCTTTCTGTCTTTTATCTCTGTATTCTCTTACCTCCTCAGTCATCCTCCTCAGCTTTGTTCATTATACCTGGTGACTCATATAAAAGGCTATCAACTCAAGTAGCAGCCCTCTCCCATTTTCTCTAACTTTCTCCTCACTCTAATCTCATCAGTTCCCCTCCCTCTGGCTATTCATCCAATCTATAATCTTTGATCAATCACCTAAAGATAATTCTTACCTTGTTCTCTATTTCCTTTTCTTTCGGGGTTTTTTTTTCTCTATTAGATTTCTTTCATGTCTGTTTGGTTACTCTCCACTTTCATCACCCTCTCAACCTCCCATATGTTACCCAAAAAACCTTGGCCAATTTTCTGAAAAAGTAGCCAGAGAGCTTTATTCTTACCATCTCCTCTCTCCCTCAAGGTTTTATGCAGCAGAGATCGCAGTTGGCCTCTTCTTCCTCCACAGCAAAGGCATCATCTACAGGTGAAGATGTGGCCCGGCTGTCACAGCAGAACACAGAGCTGATGCAGATTTATCACGCCTTTTTGTGGCCAATGACCGATGAAGATGCTATCCATCAAGATGATTTATGGCTGTGTAACTTATCTCCCTCTTTTCTCAGAGATCTAAAGCTGGATAATGTGCTACTTGACAGCGAGGGCCACATAAAGATCGCTGACTTCGGGATGTGCAGGGAGGGCATGTTCGGGGGCGACACCACTCGCACGTTCTGTGGCACTCCCGACTACATTGCCCCTGAGGTTTTCTGACTCCCTTTGCTCACTATGGTGTCAGATTCACGATTTCACTCCTTTGTGCATGCATGACCTGCTTTACTTCACTGTTAAGACACCCACAGCAGTTTCTCCTGTCTGATTTGTCCTCTCTGACCTTGTCAGCATTTTTAAATAATTAACCTCACATTATTCAATTAGCAGCGGGCCTCTGCACTAGCACTGTTGAACAGAACATGATATTACCCTTCAAAAGCCTTGTTGTTCTAGCTTCACCTCAATACTTGTGGTTGTAACTCTAAAATCTTCATTTAAGAGTTGGTAGATTATTTTGCCCATGATCTTTACACACTTAAAATGACCCTATGGCTAACGGTTTGTTTCTGTCTTTAAAATGTTTCTATTTATATCCAAATTAAGTCTTGGTTGTTTAAGTTTGAGTGTTGCAAAATAGTTTAACCCACAGATCCCATCAGTATCTTAACTTAAACAGGTGCTGCAGTCAATAGTCTCCTATTCACTATTCAGAGATTACTGGGGCTACTAGGGTGAATCTTCATTAAGATGGCAGCAGTTTAAAGCTGCTGCCACTCTGTTTCTTACTCTGGCACATATGTTGATATTTTTCTTACATTAGTCCAAATGGAAAACGAGCAGCGCAGCATGTGCATTGCACATATTTAAGCTTGAAAAAATATGCATGTCAATATTTTTCAAGTAAATGTGACTTGAATGTAATGTTTCTAGCCTCTAAATTGTAAAAGCTGGTGTAGACTTATTTTGCAGCTACACTAGGCCAGTGTAATCACTAGTTTAGATGGAGTTAAAATTCATGATATTGATAAAATTCTAGAAAACTTGGCAGCTTTTTGTCAGTGATGTTCTTGTGATCCAGTTGAAAGCTATTTGCTTTATTCTCATCATTTTGTATTTGTAATGTTCTCTGAATAAGGGTTACAAATACCAAACAAAAAAATTATTGCTTATGGGTTTACACATATAAAACTGATTAATACTGTACTGGTTTCAAAGTGTGAGACTTAATTTTGAAGAGACAAATTACTAAACCGCCTGCACAAGAGACCAACAAAGAATTCTAGTGAAGACCAAAACATTTGGAAATAATGAAGACGTATAGCAAATTTTGCACAACAGTCTATTTTTATATTCAAAATGAAATGCTAAAACATGTGTGTGTGTGTGTGTGTGTGTGTTTGCATACCTGTTTGGACTTGTTAAGAGATAGAGAAGAGACAGAGGGAGGACCTGACTGTTCAGCTAGTCTTTGATATGGTAAACCTCGCTGTGGAACCACTACGTATTGACTCTCTTATGTAAACACCTATTGATTCACTTGCATCTGCCATTTTGGAATGGATACAATACAATTCCCTGGGGGGCTGGGAATTGTTCACTTGTGCCCCTCTTCCACAGGCAAGAGGGGCGCTCACACACTCACACGCACGGAGGAAAATGCATAATCAGGCAAACACAAAAATCTTGTCCCTTTCATACGCTTCCTCTCCTTGCTGCTTTTTATTTTCCTGCGCTGATTTTTTTTTTCTTTTCAATGTCTGACAGCTCCCCTCCTCTGGCTATTCCTACTGCGATAATTTTGTTTGCCTACACTTCATGTTTACTTCTTTGTTTTCTTATCTCCACACGGCTTCTCCTCGAATTGATCTCCACTCATGTTCCTTTCAGATTGTGGCATATCAACCGTATAATAAAGCAGTAGACTGGTGGTCGTATGGAGTACTAATGTATGAAATGCTTGCAGGACAGGTAACTCTCAGAATAACTGTAACTACACTGCAATAATATAAAAGCCTGCAGTGCTTTGTAATGACTTCAAATGCAGGAACCGGCACTGATCTGATCTGTGGTGAAACTCTTTGTTTTATTTTTCCCTTTTTCCTTTAAGCCGCCGTTTGATGGCATCGATGAAGAGGAGCTGTTTCAGTCCATAATGGAGCAGAGTGTCTCCTACCCCAAAAATCTCTCTCGAGAAGCTGTGGCTATCTGCAAAGGAGTGAGTTCATTTCCCCTTCTGTTGTACTTACAGCCTTCAGACATTGAGAGCAAGATTTATATTAGAAGATTTGAGAAATGTGCATTGGGACAGTTTTATTAATCCTTCACATTATTTTAAAGTTAGTTTTTTAGATTTATTAGAGGCAGGCAGGCTACACTCTCCAAAATTTTATGCAGCCGTCAGAAGTTTTATCTTCTCTGAGGAATAATAATATGAGAAGGAAAAACGGCAGGCCTGGTCTGAAATTAACAGAACTCAACTAGCTCTGAATACAAATCACTCTAATTACAGGGCCTGGCAGAACTACGCAGCAGTATTTATATTCTACTTTAACTTTTTTACATTTTGTCGCATTGCAATATGCTTGACTGGGATTTATTTTGTAATAGACCAACAAAAAGTCCAGCATAATTGGGAACTGAAAGGAAAATCAAGATTACATTAACGTGTAACAATCTGAACAATGTCGAGTTCGTTTGCATTAGTTTAATTTTATGGGTTGTCTTAATGTGGGGTAAGAGGCGTTTCAATGTGCCAAACTATGTGACAACTTGCCAATGAGTAAAATTATCTGCATTATCAGAGTAAGACTGTTTTTGATCTATCAAAGTTGTTTTATTGCAGTACAGACTTCTGTTTGCTATGTTTGGCCCAGGAGTGATTTCTCCTGAATATTTTAATAATCCAGCTTCACTCCTTGGTTCTGGTTCTGGCAGTAAAACATTGCCTTCAGTGACTGTCATCGAGATCTGTGTACATGTGTCTCTCAGGATGTCCTGTAGATTTTCTCTGAGCACTGACACAGCTGCTAACACGACCTCAAAATACCTCAGAGGACAGAAGTTGATGCTGGATGAGTGTGTAGACTCACTGAGTGCTGACAGCGAGGGATACTTCTGCAGAAAACGGTTGTGATCTTTTGTGTTTGAGAGTTGCTCCAGCTCAGCGTCTTTCCTCTAAAGTTCAGCCGTCTTCTGTTCCAACTTGTCTGAACTTCCTTCCCTCAACTCACTTTGGTTTCCTGTTGGGATCTGATCTAATGCTTCACACCAGAACTTATTTTCTGGATGAGGTGGATCAGCACAGTGAAACCTCTCGATATAACAGATCCTTTCCTTGATGAAGCAGTTTCACATCTTCCTCTTGGTTCTGGATGTTCTACTGAATTTGTTAACACTTTTATTTTTCTGTCCTTTCTGGATTTAGCATAAACTGGAGCAGGTTTGTGCTTTTTTTTTAAGCGAAAGATTCATTGTAAAGTTCGAGGTGATTCTAACAGTTTGACACAATAAAGACGATTTGGTGGCTTTCATCTTCTCAGTCCACATCTTCAGGTTCAGCATGGAGTTCAGTCCTCTTCAGACTAGATCTGCTGATATTATATCTTTCCCTAGGCCAGATTTTTGGGATAAATTTAATGATTTGTAGCAGTTGTCGTCCTCCTGAGTATGTATCTGGCAACAGTAGAAAGAAATGGCTTCCTCTTAACAGGAAAAAAATCCCTCCAGCAGAACAAAGCTTAGAATGAGTGACTGTCGGCTTCTGGGGATTGTCCTCTGCATCCTTAGTTGAGCGATTCCCTCTTATCAAACCACAGACCGAAAAAAAAAAGATTTACATTTAACTAAACTGAACAGAACTTACTGTTGAAAACACGATATGTTTCTGCACAAGTTTAATTTCAGGAAAGTTTGCAATTTTCGGAAACTTTTGTCTTTCTCCAGCTCCTGACAAAGCACCCTGCCAAGCGTCTGGGTGGAGGAGAGGATGCCGAAAGGGAGATCAAGGAGCATCCGTTCTTCCGCTGGATAGACTGGGACCGTCTGGAGCGACTGGAGATACCGCCACCGTTCAAACCCAGAACTGTCAGTTGAAATTTTTATTTGCTTCTGTGTGTTTATTTTGTCGCCTCTTCTTCTTTAGCTTCCTTCTCCTTTTACCTCGTTCTTCTCTCTATCTCCTCACTCTCTGACTCTACCTTTTTGTCGCTCCTTTCAATCAACTCTTTCATCACCTGAGTGGATTCCCGGTCCCCGGCTCACACACAGAAAGTTCAGAAATAACAGACAGGACCTCTGAACCCAGGGCTGCGTTTTTCTCCTCCATATGCAAATGCATGTCATCATTAGCTCGCCGCATGCTAGTCTGCTGCCACATCGCCCAATGGTGAGGCCTGGCAGGAGGAAGCTGACTGCGCTCAGGGGTTAGAGGCCAGGCCCATTAGCCAAATGAGATTCATTTCATCCACCAGAATGGCTGTCATGTGGGGTTAAGGAGGTGGGGAAGATATGTGGCCGGCTTTCATCCTAAGACAGCAAGAAATGAAGGTTGTGGGTGGGCAGGAGAGACATGTTGGCAGACTGTTTCAATATATCTTTAGAGGAAGATGGGGCTTTTTTAAGTAATTAACCGTAACATTTTTGTGAGGCTGGAGTGATTGATTTCGTGCTTACCTGCCTTTCCTCGTCAGGGCGGAAGAAAAGGCGAGAACTTCGACAAGTTCTTCACAGCGGCGCCATCCGTTCTCACTCCGTCGGATCCAGATGTGCTCGCAGCCATCAACCAGGAGGATTTCCAGGGATTCTCCTTCTTCAACCCAGACTTTGCTCCGTTACCTCTCACAGCTATTTGAAAACTGCCCCTTCCAATTCCCCCTGTTATTTATCAGATAGTAGTTTTATAGCTGAGAGCCAGAGTATAAAAATTAGCAGCAAATATTTCACCTCTTGTAACAAACTTCTGACGTTTACATTAAAATGCCAAGACAAGTCGGTATTCCCTCTATGACATGTGTATGTCTTCTTACTGCATGTGTATTTACCATGCCAGTGTTCTGGCTTGCCACTCTAGACTTCTTTTTTATATATAAGATTTGTCCTAACCTGCTCTAAGACTTTTGTTGTGAAAGACAGATAAATGAATCTCTTTGCATGCGGATAGTTTTTGTAGAGCTAGAAGGAAGATAAAAGTCCTCAGTTTTCTGAACAGCCAATTTACCAGTAACATCTTTGTTCGTACAGCTATTCAGAAAATAATATGCAAAAGAAATCTTCTTTTCATAAATTACATTTCCTTAAAGGTCTATTTAGCTCAAATACGTTCCCATCCTAGATGGCCTCCACAGCACCTGAATGTGCATTTTGAAATCTAGATCTAAATAGATAGATCAGAAATCTAAAACTGACTCATAGACTATAAAGCTATCTAAATAGCATGTTTCTCTTTCCCAATTTGATTGCATAATCTTAAGAAAGACTCACTGGGGCTTTTTAACCTCCCTCAGCCTCTCAGTTGAATGTCATGACCTCAGCTGATTCACGAAGGTGCATAAATGACGCAGCGGACGCAGTGTGACAGAAACTGTAGGCAATAATGCTGCCCTCAAACTGCTGGACTTTGAGTTGTATTACTTTAAATTAAACACCATGTTTGCATCAAAGCTCGTCCTTGCAAAAGCATTAATACTCCATAAACCTTTTATTTTCACATTTTATAGTGTTACGACCACAGACTTTATTTGATTTCATTTGGATTTAAGAGCGACCAACACCAGTGGTGTTAAGAGTTGGGAATAAAATGATGAATGGTTTTCAAAAAGGTTTAGTATGTATTCACCTCTCTCATGTTGATACCTTGCAGAATCTCATTTTGATGTGATTACAGTCCAAGTTTCTGCCAGCTTTGCACATCTCGGGACAGAAATGTTGAACAATTCTTCTTTCCAAACAACTGAAGCACAATTGCAATGGATGTGGAAACAGTTTTTCATGAATCTGGACTGTGACTGTACCTTTCCAACACATGAATGTGTGTTGCTCTAAACGGATGTAGGTCTTGTTGTTGAGGAACATTATCACATTCATTTGTGACAGATTCTCCAGAACTCCTATATATTTAGCTACATTACTCTGCTTGTTAACGCTGGTCAGCTCCTGCAGACAAAAAGCATCCCCACACAATGATGCAGCCACCACCATGTTTTTCCACCATATGGGGGTCAAAAAGTTTGAGTTTGGTGTTAACAGACAAGCGTGAGGCAAAATTCAGACAGAACTTGCCATGACTTTTTTTTTTCTTTAACATTGTTTATCTTCTTCCATAAAGATCAGGTTTGCAGAGTGCAAGGGGACATTTGCAGCTTCTAATCTTTTATTTAGAGGTATCAGAATGAGGGGGCAGGATGAATACAAACACAAGTAAAGTTTTTGATTTCTATTTACAAAGAAAATCTAGAAACCCTTTTTCTTCCATTTTACAATTTATTTGATTGTGTTGGTCAATCAAATAAAATACAATGAAGTTGTTTTTTGTAATGGGACAAATTGTGAAAAGGTTTAAGGGATGTATTTTTGCACAGCACCTTAATTAGAACCTCTAATTGTTTTACTGCACTTAAGAAAACATTACCCTTCATGTTGTCTTATCCAAACAAGCTCGTTGGCTTGTTAAAGTACAGAAACTTGTGTCCACCAGAAAGCTTTTTGCTGTGTAATGACATACAGCACACACCATTGATTGGGAGTAATTAGAAGGGAGGCTCAACGGGACTGTTCAATACGTGGAAAAAAAAAATAATACAAGCAGTGCGTTTATTTAAACCTGCCTGATCAGGGCAGGTGGCTGCAATGTCTCCACTATAGTCCCACAAATGAGTTTTATTTCTTTAACAGAACTTATGGGTTCATCACCACTTTCTGAGTGTTTCACTACATTAGAGACAAGAGAAATATGTAATAATCAGCAAACTATTATGGCTAGTTAATGTATTTGTCTGTTGAGTTAACTCCTTTTGTTTTCATGTGCTGGAAAAATAACTTCAAAATAAACCAACTGAAAGTCACAGTGACGCGTCTCATTCTGTTATCGTGTGAAGTTGTGGAGAAATGCCTCCCGCTTCGTGTTCTCCACACGCCTCTCTGTCACTCCCTCACTTTCACACATACTCACACTCAAAACTGAACAAAGCACAACAAAAAAAGGGCAATCTCCAGCATGTGTGTGTGTGACGTTCTCTGTCACACACATGCTGGGAGAGAAGATGCTGACCGCTCTGTTTGCTGTGGGACCGGAGTTGTCGAAGCAGCAAACCTCCCCACACCTCCCCTTGCGCCTCACTTTTCCCTCCCTTCTCCTCTGAGGCAGCCTCTCACTCTCTCCTCCTCCCCCACAGCTGCTCCGCCCACACCCCCGTCTCTTAAGCTCCTCCAGCACCAAGCAGAGACTAATATCCCTGTAGAGATCCGAAGTTATAACAAGTTGACCTTCACATTAAAATCTCATCAACTTTCCATCTCCCTCCGTACTTCCCCCTCTTTTTCTCTGCACGTCCTTCATGACTCTTTTGTACTTTTCTGACGGTTTGGCACATCTACTCCTTTGCTGCACATTTTTAAATTATGCTCTGTTTGCTATACAATCAGGATTTATTGGTGTAAGCATCTTTTTTACACACCCTGTTGTTGACTGATGTAAGGGTTTTCCTATCTTAAAATCAGTCATTTTCTTTAAAATATTCTGCTGTCAGATCTCTGTTATTTTGAAGTCATAGGCATCTGGAACAATTTTATTTGTTTTTTTGTGCTATTTTGAAAAAAAAAAGTGTTTTTATACATATTTTGAACATGGCTTGTTAGCTTATAAAGGTGCAGAAATGCTTAAGTTTTGTGAAAACATTTATTCTCAAAAGTTGCTTAAAATGTCATGCAAAAGTATATGTTCTATTTAAATCTATTTATGTTTTGGTCACATAACCACAATTGTACAGAAATTTTAGTTCTGTTTTGTGTGGTGGACCAAAACAAGACAAACATAATATTTTGTTTCTCTAAAACTCTGAAACGTTAATATAAATTTATAATCAGTCATTTACTCCTACTGTGGCTGTAAGTCCGTCAGGCATGTCTGCACCGACTTTTACAGCTACACACACAAAGATTTTTCCCATTCTTCTTTGAAAATGGCTGAGGCTAAGTTAGAATTGACAGAGGGCACCAGTGAACATTTTCAAGTCATGTCACATACTCTTAATTGGATTAGGACCAAAGGAAAACTAACAGATAAATGTGCTTTGATCAAAGCCAAAACATTGCAGTGCTCTACTGGCATTAAATTACAGCCATATAAAGTCTGTGTAATAGGTGACTTCTGAAGGGGTTTAGTTATTTTGGGACATCAGATAAAAGCGGGCTGAATACAAATATGTGTCTTGTCGCTGTTTATTTGATCTGGAAGCAGAAATTTAACGACGAGCTCACACTACATGCATTTTTAGACTTGTCTGTAGTTGGCGCTTAACTATCTCCATGAAACCAAACCCTGACCTCTTGCTGGAGGGACACGCATTCAGGCCCCATCACTGTCAGTGGCAGTGAAATGATACTGTCCCTCTTCTTCAGCGCTGCCTCCTCCTTCCTTTGTTTCTATCCGTCCTTAATCTCTCCTCCTCTTCCTTTCTTATTCTCCAGGTCTCTCTCTCTCATGCCCTCAGGTCAGAGTGTGTGGTAGACTATTGATATCGTTGCTAAATATATAGGATTTCTCCACCAGTCGGGTTATAAATAGAATAAAGGGACACAGCTCACAGGGGACGAAGACGGAGGAGGGCAGAAAGAGTGAAGGATGTTGGTCCTATAGAGTCACGTATTCATCTGCATCCACAGTCTGCAGCTGAATGAAAGGGACTCATAACTGGAAATAAAAATGAATATTCAGACCAGGACCTCAATTTGCTGCTTGTATTTGTTGATTAAACCTTTGATGTTGTTTCACTCACACTCTGTTTTTTAATATTTATTACCACTTTTCAAGTAAGGGTCATTTTTCCAAATAGAAACAAAGCCAAAGACACAACAGCTTTAGGGAAAGGGCACCGATGTTGATGATAGTCTATAATAAATATGATGGCACATAATAAAAGGTGCAGGTTGAATGGCTGGGGGAACTTTTCTGTTACTGCATATTATCCCTGGGTTTTCTCAGGGTAATCCAGCTTTATACTGTACATGCTTGCCACCCTTAACTACCTCAAGATGCGAAGGTGTGTGCAGGGCAGTTTAGAGTGATGCAGACTTGCATCATCTTGAATGCAAGACATACAGGCACCAACTCCTCACTGTAAGAAGAAGTGATGAACATCTTCCTGGCTCAAGGAAGATAAAAAATGAAAGAAAATATGAGTAGAAAAATCTTTGCAAATGCATGAAGCATGGCTTCTGCAGATTAATGACCCTGAACTGTTACAGTGTACGATCTGGAGGCTCTCAATTGAAGAGACTGATACCACTCACCCTTTCTGTAATAGCAAAAAACAGTTTGAAAGTGTGAAAATGTGCATTTCCAGTTACTGGCCCTGTGTTGCACTGTGTTGTCGCACTGTGTTGTCTCTGTGTTGCCTTATGAAGCAACCTGTCCTGGGTGGACCCTACTGACCACTGGAGAGAGCTTTGTCCTTGCTGCAGTCAGTTTTCTTTTTTTTTTACAAGTTGTAGTTGTAATATTTATCCAAGTTCATGCTGTTTATTAAAAAAAAAGATTGTTTATTTATTTCCATATGCACAGCCTTGAGCTTCTTAAATATTCCATGTCCATGTAATTTATTTATTTTTTTTAAACTGACATACTTTAATGGTGGCTTCTGGTCTGACAAACAAATCTACTTATGAATATTAATAAACTCACCTTGATCACAGAGCCTTGACTGGCGCCAGGCCCCCAAACCCTGCAAGGACTAACCGGCTGTTACTTGGCTTTACAGTTTTTGGTGAAGACACTCCAACCCAGCGTGCTGGGTTAAACCCACAATGCAGACCTGGATCGGTCTACGATTGGCAAAGGACTGAGTGAGCGGATAATACTAAAAAAAAGAGAGAGAAAGGGGTTTATTTTGAACGAGCATTTTTAAAATATTTGCAGTGTAAATTTGCGCACGTCGCACAAAACAGTAAAATCAGCAATAAAATTGGATGTGGCTCAGTTGAGAAATAATAAAACCAATACACACACTCCTCATCTCTCTCTCTCTCTCTCTCTCTCTCTCTCTCTCTCTCTCTCTCTCTCTCTCTCTCTCTCTCTCCTGCTACAGCGTTTCTCTGTTTGTAGCCAAAGTAGCTCAGTAAACGATCCACCGCAGTGCCTGGGACAGACTGCGTGGAAGAGGGAGAGAAAAGACATTTCGAGGATGGGAAGGGGAACTTAAGGGTAAACACACAGAAGGAGGAAAAGAGGAGAGGATAGAAGGAAAGAAAGAGAGGAAGGGACAAAACCCCCAGCAGATCCTCCCCTGGTGTGGGGTTTCTTGCCTTCCTGACGTGTGCGCACGACTCTTAGTGGCACTGTGAGTATTCTTCCTTCTGTATTCTTGTGTTTTGTTGGCAGTAATTTCAATGGTGACTGAGTCATTTGAATTGTAGTTGCGTGCGTGTGTGCGTGCATATGTGTGCGTGCGTGTGAGTGTGTGTGTGTGTGACGGCTGTGAAAAGAGCAGGATTCATGACGCGTCCTGGCGTCGTGTTAATAAAGACAGACAGCAGCTCGTTCCGGAGCGCACTGGGAAATAATTTTATTCCGACAGCCAAGTTATCCTCACACAACTCCACTGCAGTTCCACGTCGTTCACATGTTCCCCACTCTCTGTGTTTATCATCCCTCAGAAACTCCGTGCGCAGCCTCTGGCTTAGGTTCTGGTCGTGCACACATGTATTCAACAGAGATGACAGTGTGAGGATGTTCAGCTCTCCTCTCTGTTGGTGCTGCTGCGCAGAGAAACCGTTTGCAGAGACCAAAAGCCTCCCGTTCGGTCAGCATCTCGGCGTTTAGTTGTCGGGAAGTCGCTGGTTTCCCCGTGAGTGATTTCATAGATTTTTCTCTGAGCCCGATTTGTGAAACGCTGCACACAAGGATATTTAGTTCAGCACATCTTCGAGTTCCAGTGCGTGAACGCACTCCTGTCGTGCGCGCCCACGTTGGTTACTCCTTCCATTTTTTGGGCCAAGGACTTTTCTTTTGATGCATTCTTCACTTTTTCTTGGTTCCTGTTTTCTTGACTGCTGGGTTTCCTGAAGGTTTTCACATCTTCCTCCGCAGAGGGGGTTCTTCCATGAAACATTGTCCATAGGTCAGTCATATTCTGCCTGTTTTTTATTTATTTATTTATTGTTTACAAATGAAGGTATCATTAAACACACAATTTGTGATCAATACATATTAACTCAGTTCAGGTTTGCCCGGTGAAGTTCATAGCTATTAAGCTAATTGGGTCTTACCAGTCCATTAAGTCCATTCAAAGGGTCTCAGATATGCATTCAGAATGTTTTGTGTTTTCACAAATTGATTCCCTTTGTAAATAAACTCTGTCCAGTGTGGAATCCTCCCTTTCTGGTCTCACAAGTCCAAGTCTCTCTGTTTCTGAACTATATGATCAAAAGCAGCGATCAGTTCTTAAAAAACTGTAAAATATCCCCTTATTTCTGAATAAGACTCTAATGAAATGCCTAAGCTTCATCAATTGTTGCCAAGTGCAGAAATATGATCTTATAGAGTTTTCTTTGGCTACAAAAGAAGGACTCTCATCCTTTTTTTGACTGGATCAGTGACAGAAAAGTTGTTCAGGTTGCAACTACCAGAGGACTTTAGTTTTTTACGCTAGTTGCCCAAACATTTTTTTTGTCTTTTTTCACCCACTACTGTCCCTAATACAGTTTTTTCCAACTACTTTTCGCCTATTTTCTAAATCAAAATCACAGCCGGAGCGAAGCATGAGCTCCATATCAGCTGTAGTTCAGAATCATCAGCCATTCGTCATTCACTGTAAGAACTGTGTGATTGTGGTAAGCAGAAGAAAGCTTGTTCCTTGCCAAATTATGTTTTTGCTTGCCCACTCCAGGTCTTGCCACTTTGGGCAGAAAGCCACATCCCCCAAATCAAAACTCTTATCCTTCCCTGTTATCCATCACACCCTCTTCTTACTTGGCATCTCTTTGTCCTGTGAGTTATAAAGGCTGTGCCAATCTGTAGATTGAGATAGATTAGAGTGAATTAAACCTTTTGTCCCCCTGTGGCTCCTATCTAACCAGTTAAATTGGTTCATTGCTTTCTGGGAGAAAGAGGCCAAGAAGGCTGAGGTGTCAAAGCCTTAAAATGGGATTACTATCACACATCTCTGAAGGAGATTGTTTTCTTCTGCTGTTTATGGCGTCTCCATCAAGTATCAATTATGTTTTTTCTTTAAATCAGAATTTTATTTTATGTTTTTTTCTTTTTGAGCTGACAGGTTTTATCTGGATTTTGAGAAATAGTTTGATTTTATAATTTTATCTCTATTCTTTGGGCTTCATTTTAATCTCCTTGAGGCTTTATTGATATTTGGGTTTTACCACTTCATTTTTATTTATCTATTTTTACTAATATTTTGTGGTTCAAAAGTAATATGATGAGATTTTGTGTCATGTTTCTGCTTAATTATTTTTCCTGTTTTACTTTTTAATGCTTTATGTTTGCATGCTTGCTTTGTTTGTAGCAGACATGTTGGTTTTGAATCATCTATTGCACCTTGTGTTGCACAAAGTTGTTTGAGGCTTGATTGACTGACCGTTTCATTACTTTGTGTTTCTAAAAACTGCAAAGTAAAGAGCGAGCGAGAAGGAAATGTTCTGACTGATGTACATTTTTCTTATTTTCATATGGGACTAACTGTGACCCGATCCCCAGCTTTAGAGGAAGTGATGTGAATCCACACTAAAGGTTAAAAGTTTCACCTATTTGAATGCTAGTTTTTGTTATAAAACTAGTTTTTTTTATTTAAATCAAACAGAAAACAATACATGTTCTGTGTCTAAGGTGCTGTCCATGGTGCTGAAAAATTATTAGTAACTTACTAATGATTCTCAATTTCTGCAGTATTCAGATTCTAATTCAGACCAACTCTTTCTAAATTATTTTTCATAATGGTTCCTTGTGTGACTCTTCATTCTGGAGTTTTTGCTGATGATCTTATTGTCACATTCCTTTCTGCGCCCAGTCATGCTTTGTCATTTCAGTGAATTTTCATTGATTTAATGTGAAATTACTCATAACTTCCTCTTGCACATTTTGTCTAATTCCCAGTGCCTCGATAAATAAGCTTCTAGTTAAGAAGAGAAGACGGAGAAAAAGAAGATGTTTAAGAACAGGTCTGCAGCAGACTAATGCTCATCTTAACTTCATACAAATCTTTAGTTTTGCCTTGGTGCCTCAGATGACAGAGCCAATTTGCTTTGTAGTTCTTGTAGATCTGTTTGAGCTTAGTAGCTTTGCATCTTTTATATGCCCTGTTTGTCTGATTAGATTTTTACTTTCCTCTTAAATCTATCTCCCATATAGCTAACCATTTTCTTGCTTGATCTTCCTACTTTGACACATCAGATGCCTTCACACTCTCACCTCAAAGATGGGCACTCTTTACTTCTCTTTTTACTTTTCCTTCTCACCCCTCATTCACAAAGAGTCTCTATTTAGTCACACTGCTGCAGCAAAGAAAGCAAAATAACTTCTGCAGCAGTCACATCTTCCACAATGGTTGTCCAGATAAGATGGGACCAGGCTTAATCTTTAAGATTTCATTCCCCTGTAGGATGACTGTTACTGTTATAGCTTCACTCTAAAAGGCCTCCAGGATTAGTCACACAAAGACGAGGCAGGATAAAGAAATGGCTTTTTTATGTTGCTGCAGGTTTATTTGTTTGTAGCTTTGAAAGTAACTGATAAATGGTTAAAGACATCATTAAGATTTAACCCAATGTTTTGCAGTTTATTTTTTCTGTGACTGTGCATCTGCCTGACAATTCTTCTGCACTTTCATTAAATGTTTTGTGCTTAAAAACATTTAATGAAAGGTAAAATAAAATCAATTTATTTTACCTTGTAGTTCAATACTGCCTCACAAAACGGAGACATTAAAATGTAGTTTTGCATAACAACTTATTTTCATTTATTGTGGTTTTGATCCTCTTGCTGATGTGTTTTGGATCATTCCACTGCTTCGCAACCAAAAGTTTACAAACAGATGACTGGACCTTCACAACTTTCTGATTGAGAGTACAACCATTTTGCAGAGTCTATTTCCTACTTTTGAATCATGAACACATTAACTGAGCCAAGGGAAATCTGCAGAGCTTAGAATGCTGCTTTGAGTTGTTTTGTGGCCATCTGGATGAGTTGTTGATACATTTTTGGAGGAAATGTTATTGTCCAGCAGTTTTCCATGATTTCTCAATTTGTGGATAATTACAATGATTGATGTCAATAAGTTTGTTTCCTGTTTGTTCTTGAATTCCCTTACATTTGGGCATGGTGTGCTGCTTTTTAAAAAGGCTTCCAGCCTACTTCATGTTGTCAGGCGGGTTCTATTTAAGCCATTTGTTGAAGATGCAACAAATGGCATCTTCATCACCTGGTAGTAATAGGTGTGACTAATGAAAATAAACTCAGTGTTCCAAAATAAAGAGTGATTAATCACAATTATTTAATTAATTAAAGCACGAATAGTTAGAGTATATTTTCATCTGGTCATGGCAGATTAGTTTGGATAACTTGTTTTTCTGTTATCACTAAAATCATAATTTGAAAATGTATTTTTGGATCTACCTGTGTTGTGCATTTCTAATATTAAAACTTGTTGAATTGTTCCAAACATCAAAGTGGGGCAAAGCAGCAAAAACTGTGAGGAAGGAAATATTTTTTCACATTTCATAGGACTGAATGCTGATGCAATTGATTAAAAAAACAAACAAAAATAATAGTAATGTCACTCAGTGAGTTTTTGTTAAGAAAATGTAAATAAAAGTCTGTTGCATATTGGTCTGAATAACAGCGAAGTCGGCTGGATCAACACCTTTTGAATTTGCTGAATTTGGATCTATGAAGCTGTGTCATGTAGCTGCATCTTGACACTTTCTTTATCTATTGTTTTAATGATTTACCAAGACTATGTCCAAACATTCTGCAAAACAGTACATGATCTCAACAGCCTCCACACACAGAAACATGGGCATCTGCTGACAAAGGCTGTATTGCAGGCAGAGGTTCTGAATCCAAAAAGCTGCTCATTAACCCTCTGCTAATTATACCCAATTAAAATACTGTCAAGCGTATCATCCTGAAAAACTCTATAAACTTTAATTATATTATACACTGAAGAGTCAGTTTATGTATATGCGGAGAAAACTTGTAAATTAACACAGAGGGAACACACAATTAATAAGAATGTCTGCAGGTCTTTGGTGAGTAAGCCTCTTTACCTTTCTTAAACAGCCAGTGTTAATAAGGGGAGGCAGCCATTATGCTGCCTGAGAGGCGAAACCAGTGGAAGATGAAGTCTGCTGAGCACTCCCTCCTGTTTGTTAGGCTTATTGCTGTGTGAATAGCCAGAATCTTTCTTCTTTCATTTTTATTCTGGTTCCACAGAGGGTTAAAAGACCATTCAGGAAGTATCTGACCCTGAAGAAAATAAAAATATGAGCTAGAAAGAGAGATTTAGATATTACACTGCAGCATGGAATCTAAACATCAATAAAATAACATAGATATGAGGGTGAAAGTGTTCCTACCCTTCAATGTTTCCCAGTTTTTCTTGTTGCAACCACAAACTTCAACGTATTGTAACAGGAACTGAAGTGACTGACAGCACAAAGTGGCACCCGACTGTCAAATTAAAACAATAGAAAACATGGTCTTTGATTTTTGTTGTTGTTGAAAAACCCTAAAAAATTGCTGAGCATGTACATTCAGATCTCTTTTCTGTGGCACCTATAAATATATTACTCTCCAAACAACTGCCTTCTGAAACACCCAATTAGTAAATAGCATCTGTTCATGCATAATTTCAACTGCTGCTCTGTGAAAGCCTCAGAGCTTCATTAGGAAACTTTTTGGCCTACATGTAAAATATTACATTTGTCCATCTGTTTATACTTCAGTCTCATAATTCTGCTGTTCAGCGGCACTACAATTGAAAGGCTAATAGAGAAGGTGAGATAGAAAAGGAAAAAGGAGGTAAGGGAGCTTAAATTATATTTTGTTTGGAGTTCAGGGTGACTTTTCAAGTATTCAGGGGAAGCCTGAATCCTCCTCGGTATTGTTTAAAAGGAAAGATAATTCAAAGATGACAAGCATTAGGAGGATTTGGGCATTTTCTGTATCGGGGAGACAGAATTGGTAAAGGCTTAGACTGGAAATAGTTCATGATTCCAATTATTGGTCTGCATGCAAAATATGCCAAAACTAACACTGCATTGCCCTGAACACACCACTGCCACTGTAAAACATGGCGGTGGCAGCATCACATTCTCTTCAGCAGAGACAGGCTGGTCACATTTAATGGAAAGTTGAATGCAGCTGTTGGCAGAGTAACCCTGGAAGAAAACCTGCTAAAGACTTGAGACAAGAAAGTAAAACAAGTGAAAATTTTATTTTCTAGATGTGCAAAACTGCTAGAGCCATGCCCCAACACTTGAAGCTGAACAAACATCAAACTTTTATTGATGCAGCAGTGCAAAATGTCATGAAGTTTGAATGGCCTGAATACTTTTGCAAGGCTCTGTGGTTACAGTAAAGAACATGTCTCTGTTTCTTCTGTGCTTTTCCTTATCCGTTGTGCTGATTCAAATGAACAACAGTCCAAATTAAGTAGAGGCCAGAGGGGGAGCAGCCACATGCAGCACACGTGCGCTGAGAAACATGAATCCATACAGACAGCTCGCTCAAACGTGCATGTGCCGTTCAGCCAGAACTAAGCCACAGAAAGCCTGCGACTGAGTCACCGTCTCCTTTATGCTTCTGTTCCCTCCATCGCCGGGTTTTTAAAATCCTTGTCTAACTTCGCCGGTGAGGTCATCATCTGTTCCATTGGCTCCTCTCCGACCTTTAATGCGATTGGCTGCCAGCGTGTGTGTCACTCCAGCAATAACAAGGCGAGAACAGAGGAATAACCAGCCGCGGTGTGTCCCTGTGAATAAGATTCACGTCCTATAAAAGGAGTTCCCCGTTTTCAATGATCTCCTCTTCACGTCCCCTTTTTTCCTTCTCGTCTCTCCTTCTTCCACAGTTTTGATTCTGAATTACAGCTCTCCTATCTCTGCCCCTCTGCCCTCCAGATGAGTTCATGCAGCAGCCGTGCATTGACCATCCTGTCCACAGTTTTTGGAGCCTGCGGACTGCTGCTGGTGGGGGTGGCTGTGTCCACCGACTACTGGCTCATAATGGTGGAGGGAATCATCCTGCAGCAAAACCAGAGCATGGAGGTGAAGATGGCTCTGCATTCTGGCCTGTGGAGAGTTTGCTTTGTGGCTGGTAGGAATATATCCTCACACTTGTGTGCATATGTTTACATTTACTCACACACACAGGATATCCAAGCACAAGAAAGTAACAAACATAAAGAGGTATCAAAGATTGGCAAGTTGAGGGAGAGTCAGGCCAGAGAGAGAAAAGAAAGAGAGGAGCCTGTGGCTTCTGGAATCAAATCTGTCAGAAAACATGATTGTTAACAGCGAGAGAGGCCGCTGAGACCTGCGCTTCTTCACACATGACCGACTCTGATCCTAAAAGCAAACCTAACGTTCTCCAATTTCTGTTTCCTCACAGGAGCAGAGAACGGGAGGTGCGTGGCTTCGGAGTACTTCACTGAGCCCGAAATAGAGATCACCACCGAAAACACGGCAAACATCCTGAGTGAGTGAAAGATGGATGTGATATTACACGTCTGTTATTTACCAAAGGGAACCGACTCTGGAATTATACAGAGTAATGTGCAGCTGACTAGATTCAAAAAGTGGGGATGGAGAAGGGCGAGGATGAAGAATCTGAAGTGAAAGGAAAAAAGCCTTCAGGTGCAGAGGGACTCACAGAGAGGGGGGTCAGTCTCAGAGGACTTTCCCTCCTTTCACTCGGAGTTCTTGTCATAAATGAAAAGAAGAGAAGGAAAAAACCCTGAGTTTGAAGGGAATTTATATCTGATGCTACTGAGTGCTATCAGAAGATGCAGAGTTGGGTTATAAAACAATATCCAAAGTCATAAACATTTACAGGATCACATTCATCAGAACATGGCAGGGCTAAAGCACAACTGCAAACCAATAAACATGGCTGTCCACCTAACCTGCCAGCCCAGGTAACTGAGGAGGAGCTACAGAGAACCACAGCTCAGATCTAAACCAAAAAATGTTTCACTGCACATTATAACCACTGTATGACATGGTGGTGGCAGCATTGGTCTGTGGGGGAAAGTTTACACAAAATACCACATCAGAGATTCTGACTATTCAGATATTTGTTTGTGAAATAAACTTGGAAATCATGTCAATTCATGTTGCTATATCTCATAGAAAAGGGAATGAATATTTTTACAACATGCTGCATTTGATAGCCTTTGAATATATATATATTTTTTTTCGTGGAAAAATAACATCAGATGAGCTATTTTTAACACGGTGACCTTTTGTTCCCACAGAGATGGTTCGTACGGCCACGCCCTTCCCCATGGTGTCTCTGCTCTTCGTCTTCACGGCCTTTGTCATCAGCAACATCGGACACATCCGGCCTCAGCGTACCATCCTGGCCTTTGTGTCCGGCATCTTCTTCATTCTCTCAGGTGGGACCCATTACTCATGTCGCGCTGTCACTGCTCCCGCACATTATGATTGATTACAGCAGCTAGCCGTGTCCTGCGTCACACATGGTGTTGCTTTGTTAATGACTCTATTTTTGGACTGGGATACAGGTGAGCCAGCTGTCATTAGAAGAAGTGACAGGACTCATTTTCAACAACCCAAACCAAGGGTTTAAAGTTTCCTCCTCTCTTTAGAAGTTGGCTTTTAAAATTGCTTGCAGAATGTCAATTTTCTGCAGGGGAAAAAAAGCATTTCAAACAGATTTTTCTTCAGTTCTGTAGGGATGCTTCTTGAGCAGCAGATGGCACTAATGATCCCCTTTCCTGTGCTGGAGATAAGAGTAAAAACTATCAGGAGGCACGCTGCAGCTTGAGCTCTCTGAAGGCTTTTTTCTTTTGATACTTTTAGAAGAGTAAGCAGAGATGAAAGGACTATCAAACAGATTCTGATACAACGGCTTCAGCAAGCAGGGACATGCGTAAAAGAAAGTGTGTTGTAAAAGCAAAGAGTTATGTAACAAAGGTTATAAAATTTCAGCAGCATGCGCTGAGGTGTTGGAGATTTCAGCTGAAAGATGATGACAGTAATTGCACTGAATTGCTTGTTTGTGATACTGCAGTAAACTATCAGCTCTATCATTCCTCTCTCTATCCGTTGTGGTTGTTGTGGTTTCTGTGGTATATATGGATTATTCAGAATATTCCTTTTACATCCCCGAGGCAGTGATCTAGTGAATATTGCAGTTTGCGAGTGGTAACACCATGTTCTGGTTAATACAGCACAATTCAGATGATAAAAAAAAAAAAAACATCAGAGAGCAGCAGATGTTTGAGCTTGCTTGAAGGCTGATGTTCTCTTTTTTCCTCTTCCTCGCTTCTGTTTCTCCATAGCCATGCGTGTCCACTTAAAAAAAATTGCCTTTGCTCCTTTTCTGCCCAATGATCACTCGTCCTTTTCTGTCATCTGTTCTTGTTGGGCATGTGAATGAAGATTTCTCTCTGTGTCACTGAGGATCCGAGAATGAAAGATGTACTGTCATGCCACAGTGGACAGCAGCATGGTTTCTGCATTTTCCTTGCCTTCAAACTTTAAGTTGACAAGAGAACCTCTTAGACCTTCCATCTGAGTAAAAACACACAACCGAAGACAGCGCAGCACCTCATTTTAATGTTCCAGCCATATCTAAAATTAATCATATTCAGTTCTTTTAGCAGGCCTCTGTCTTTGAATATTGATTCTTTGATGGATGCCATATGTTGTACCCCATGCATTTAACATTTTCAAGGCAGTGATGTGTTCATGTCTGGTTACTGGAAGGACAGGAGGATATTAAAGATGCATGGGTCACATCTGGCGTAAAAAGGTTTTACAGTACTAGCCACGTTATTGGCACACCTGGTAAAAAAAAATATATATATAATATTAAATGCATTTAAAGGATATCTCCTCTTCACACAAATAATACATCCACCTGAACCAGAGCATTTAGGCTCGATTTATAATATAAATCAATAAAAGCATTCTGTAAATGGTGTGGTTTTGATTAGAGATACTTAAAATGTCATCAGTGTTTATCTAAAGAAAAAAGGAAACTTATGCAAACACACAGTTGGCTACCTCTATTTGTCTCCTAGGACACATCATGTTGCATATCTTTGATCCTTCGCCATTGGGAATCACTTCTTCCCATTAATAGAAGTTTTTTTTAAAGATGTATTGTCACACCTCGGTGGACAGCAGCATGGTTCCTGCATTTTCTATGCCTTCAAACTTTAAGTTGACAAGAGAACCTCTTAGACCTGCCATTTGAGTAAAAATACACAACTGAAGACAGCGCAGCACCTTATTTCTAAAATTAATCATAGGATTGGCCTGTTATTGTCACACAGATTAAAACTCACTTCATTTGTGCAAACAACTTGGCTTTGAGGGAGAATTTATGTACAAAACTGAGTTATAAACTTTAAAAACTATTTTTGTGGAAACTCTCAGCGTCTCAGACTTATTTGTGTTTCATAGCAAAAAATTCTAAATAAAAAACATGTTTTGTATGTACTTAGATGTGTAGTAAATGTTCACTCTGAAACACTTCTTCATTCATCTCTTTGCTCTTCATCATTATCATTTTGGAGGCTAATTGGTTTTCATGGTCAGCTCATATCTTTCTCTTTTTCTCCTTGGGCACACTGCTACGACTGTCTCTATGTATAATGAAGTATAATGAACTTCCATGTATCTGACTCTGTTTCTCTCTGTCATTGTCCTCGTAAATGTGCTGCATGCAGGCCTCAGTCTGGTGGTGGGTCTGGTGCTCTACATCTCCAGTATTAATGACGAGGTGATGAACCGGCCCAGAGAGCCAGAGCAGTTCTTCAATTACCACTACGGCTGGTCCTTCGCCTTCGCTGCCTCTTCCTTCTTACTCAAAGAGGTCAGTGTGGGTTGTGTGTCTGCAGTGCTATGTGTTAGCAAGCGCAGTCCGAGCTGTTGCCTGATAGCACGTTTGTGTCTTTCGTTTGTGCAAGTCTGTTATCATTGTCAGCTTATTATCAGCTTTGAATTGAATCTCATAAAATAACACATCAAATCGTAGCAAAAGAGTAAAGTTGGTATTTGCACAACAGAGATAAGCGCTGACTCATTTTGAAGTCAGCTTATGGTGTTTCAGCATTGCTTGAAGTTTCCAGATTTTGTGTGTTGATGGGAATGAACATCAGAAGTTAATCATTCCAACACAGCAGATCTGACCTTTAACCCTCAAGAATTCCTGCCGTCCTTGAAGAGTACTTCAACATATACCAGATACTCATTATTTCAGCTAAAGCGCCTCTGATCTGCTGCTAGTGATGCCCCAGAATCTTAAGAGTCCAAGAATATTTTTATTCCTGAAATGCTGTGTCTCAAAGTATATCTTTTATGAAACATCATAAAATTATTTAAATTTTCAGAAAAGCTTCTTATGTAATCCATAATTAGTTAAAAAAAAAAAAAAAGCTTACTAGATAAAAGCTTCTTTATGCAACAGAACAATTACATGTTGGAAACCTGGAATAAAGCAGCTTCAGTACAAATGATAAACTATAATTTTAACATTTTTGCTTAAATTATTTTTTTCCTTGACATTTTGTGTTTACTAACTCTTTTATAAGAGTTAGTAAACTCTTATGAAATATGAAGGAAATATTTCATATTTCCTGTCCGTAGCTTAGTTTTTTACCTTAGTGTGAGAAATTGTCTTACAAACCATCATGAAAACATGATGGTTTGATCATGTAGCCTTATTAGTCATATATTTCATGGAAATATAGTTGACATGTCAAACACTTCAAATGCTACTTCTTTATTTCTTTGAAAATTGACTTTCTCTCAGGGTGCTGGAGTTTTATCAGTCTATCTGTTCATGAAGCGATACGCAGAGGAAGAGATGTACCGTCCCCACCCTGCCATCTACCGCCCCCGTCTGTCCGAGGGCAGCGACTACAGCGGCCAGTACCTCCACCCAGAGTCCTCCTGGCCTCCACCCAAGAGAGGCCGCAGCACCTCGGAGGTGTCCAGTGACATCTCCATCCAGCTCAACCAGACTCCACCGGCGCCACCGAAATGCACCCTCCAAGTTGGTGGCCAGGGGAGCCCACCCTCTGTGTCTTCTTCTGCAGGGAGCTACCAGATGCAGCCACAGCCCACTGGTTACCCCTCCACACACACCCTACCCAGGTCCCACCCCTCCCACCCTCAGGGCCAGGCTCTTCCCATGACCATGCCTCCATCGCCTGTACCCCCCCCTCACTATCACACACATGTGCACATGAGCGCCTCACCCTGTTAAGAAGGGGGAGCCACACGAAGGCGAGCCACTGACTCTTCATCATCAAATATACTGAACACTTCGAATTGGATCAGGGTAAGCGTGGAGCTTTGATCTAGCATCGAATGAAGCAGAAAAATGTAGCTTTGAGACGTTATAAATCAAAGAGAGAGAAGGAGGGGAATTTTACTGATTTCTGAAGATTTCAAAGAAGCTGTGGTGGACGGAAAGAAACAAACAAAAGGGAAGAAAGAAGTTAAAGAAAAAGTCAAGAAAGAGGCAAACTATTCTCCAGAAAGACGTTAGAGGTTAGGTTGATTGGTAGAGTAGGTATAAGGGAGAGAGAGTGAGCAGGGGGGCTGCAGTGTTATACAAAGATGCTGCATTGCTGCAGGACTTTGTACACACTTGGAAATGTACAACGCAAAGCACTGATCTGAAAGGACTGAAAGGATCTGAATGTTCATAGAGTTTTACATGCATAAGTCACGCCAACATGTGGACTACATACGTTTTTGCCAAACGGTAAAACGTGGGTAAATATATTCTATTCGTGTCTGAATTTATTATATCATCAGTTTGATTCCACAATCCATAAAGTCATAATAGTGCCCTTGTGTTATTAAGTATTAGTTAATACAGTAACTGTTAAATGAATCTGCACAGAATGAATGTCGTTAAGCTTTGTACCATACAGAGATACTATTAAGAAATATCATGCAAACAACGTATTGTTTTACATATTTAAGATACAGATCTTTAGCTTCTTGTATATAGCTGCACATCAGAACTAGAGTTGTGAAATGGCAAATTAAGCTTTTGCACAAGTCTAAGTGAGAAAATACTTTTACTTTTAAGCTTTGAATGGAAGGGAAGCAGCTGCAGCAACGCAGCCTCTGGATGCAGAGCGGTCTGGTTTTCTCCGGCTTTACAGGAATCTGGCGCCCTCTAGTGGCCGCAGCCATGAAGCAACCCCCGAAGCAAACGTCTCTGGCTCAAAACATTTTTTCAACTTTGTCTTTTCTTCTGCCTTCACTGTGCGGTATTAGTCTTAAAGAAATGATGGAGAGTTTTGTACATTTTAAATTGTAAGTGCAGCATTATTAGGCACACAAATAAGGACTGCAAAACAAAAATAAACTGATAATCTGATTAGTAGTGTATCTTTAAATATAATTATAAAGTCCACTTGATAAAATATGTTTTTATATTTACAAGTAATTTCAATGTCATTGTTTGTCTCATGCAGCTTTTTTGCCACTTAAAATCTAAAATAAACCCTTTTTCCCACCTTATTGTAAGGTATTAAAGAAGATATGGCAAAACAATTTTTATAAGGATTGAGATCCTCAATAGGTAAAAGATGAATACATATGCTTTACCCACAAATTTCATACCCCACAAAAATTCTAATATTTAAAATTTAACCAAAACTGAATCATAAATCAACCTCCAACGACCATACAATTATGAACTTCTAGAAAATAATGTTTTCTCAGAGCAATTGAGCAGCTTTTTCCCATCATATTGATGCATACTACAGACTATAATGGCAAACATATTTTTATAAATTTTTGTCAACTCACAACAACTTACAATATTGGTTTTATGTTATAGACCAACACAGAGGGAAAAAAATGCATTTTTTTAGAAATACAAATATAAAGGTTTTGCGTGCATGATGTGTTTGTGACACATGTGCAGTGCTTCTTTCTCACTATTCATAATTTAGACCAAAAAAAATGTAAAACCTTGTTTTTTCTGAACAGAACATCTTCTACCAACCAGGTGCTTTATCCACTATGGCTTGTGGAAAAATGCAAACTATTTTTTTTCTTTTCAAGAATAGATTTTGTTTTCTTTGCCATTCTTCTAAAAAGTCCTGTTAAGAGCAGGGCTAGTAATGACCCTGTCAATTAATTCTCCCACCTGTGCTTTTAAACCTAAATCTGCTTCTCATTGCACTCCACACTTTTCAGATTCCCATTTGTAAAAATGTATTTGAAATCATACATTTACTTCTACTTTACAATTACATGCTATGTTCTGCTGGTCTATCATATAAAATCAGACTTACAGTAAGTACATTGAAGTGGTATGAATACATTTGCAAGACTGTGCAGTGTATGGTTTTCAGCCCTGCATTTGGAGAACTTTGAAATGCCTTGTTGCTGAAGCGTGCTATACAAATAAACTTGTCTTGAAAAGCGTAATTAGATTTAATTGATTGTTGAAGTAACTGCAAATGACTTCTCATAGAGGGAAAAAGTTAATCTTGTTTAGTGAGTACTTCACTTTAAGATGTCCTACAACAGAGAGGGCACTTGAAATGAACTCAGAATTTTCCAATGAAGCATTTCAACCCATCTTGGCCATTTATTTCAGGTGTAAAGTTAAGACAGTTTTATTCTCAAAAGCCTAATTGCTCTTTTTATACAACACTCTACAAAGAACTGAATCCAAGAGCATAATTACCTGCACCAACAACCAGATTTAATTCTGAATTTTCATTAGTTTTTTATTTTTAGTTTACTACTGTATTGTAAAATAAAAACCATTGTGTGAACTAATTGGTTTGGATTATCACTGTGATGCTTCAGAGAGATAAAACCTGCTCCTACAATTTATTGTGGGGGAAAAACTAAGAAAAAAAACTCGAAAAGGAAAATATGAAGTGGGTTTGTTGTATTGCCAATGTCCTGCAGTCTGGTTTATTTTCCTGTTTTTTGTTTAGGCAGTTGATGTAACTCCAGCCCCCAGTTGTTGACTGTTTTCTTTCTTAGGCAGTTCAGTGCCTTGTCCACAAGCATTTCTGCAGCATCTGTTGAAGAGATAAAAGAAATTCTCCAGACATTGCACTTACAAACTTTTTCAATCAAACTGTGCTTCAGTAACTTTGGTTTCCCCCAACCGCCATCATGACCAGTGGATAATGAATGCTTTGTTCTTGCTTTAAATAAACAGCTATTTTTATGATTTGTTGGATTATGTAATTATCTCTACAATCTGTTATACTGCATTACTATTTCTAATGTTGTAGCTCTTTTTTATCTGCATACTCAACTCTTTTTTTACCTGTGTACTAATTCACAAAAGAACTTAAGCTTCTCTCAGAAATCAGTTCACAGTTTATTTTATTTTTATTTTATATATATATAAAATAACCAAACAAGCTAAAGTAATTGCTTTTCAGTGCTTCAATGATACTGCAGCTTTTAAATCTGATCAAATGCAATAGAGGAAATACTGACAAAATTACTGCTGTTGTAGAGTTGACATCTGTAACTCAATTTGTTTTATTAAAACTTCTATTGAGGACACATTTTGTCATGTTTTAGCATCTATCTGTTCAGCGTCTGTTTGTGTTTGGTAATAAATCTGGCCCCTTTTTGTGTGTTTTGGCTTGTACATTCATAAACCAATGTGGAAATAAGAGGCAGGATGGCAGCATCATATTGCTGTCCCCAAAACTTATGACATGACCACGAAAAAATATTAGCATATGTACAAATATTGAAGAAACAGCACATTGCATTAACCAGGAAGATAAAGTTTGGTCACAAATTTATCTTCCAAATTAAAAAAATAGATATTTTAATGATATTGCTACTTTAGTTACAGATAACATTGTCAATATATGGGATCTTAGATCAATAAAAATATGTGTGCAGCTGAAAAGATATACATGAACAAACCAGATTCACATTAATTCTGTTGGAAGGAATTGGCCCAATTTCTATTAAACTCTTGTAAGTTTGAAGAGTGGTTCACAAAGCATTTGACCTAAGTCATTTAGTCCAACAAATAGTGATGAAATCTATGCAAAAATCAATATCTGGAGAAAGAAACACTCCCCAAACAATTCTCATTATTCTTGAAATTATTAAATAGAATAAACTTTAATAATATTAACTAACTGAAAAGTAGAATTGTAGAGTCTCACTTAATCAGCATTTAAAATGAAGACAAGTTTTATCTTAATGGTGTTTGGTGAAAACATGCAGAATAAGGAATATTTTCTGGCTTTTCCTTTAAAAAAAAAAAAACCAGGGAATCTCTGCAAGTGGTGCACTGCAGTGAACCACAGGGTGTTTACCAGCCTCCCTCTTCAGTCACGCCAAGCCACCACAGCCTGGAGTCAAGAATTGATCAGAGTTGTGTATGAGTGCACGCGTCTGACTGTGCATTTGCCACTATGCATTTGTGTGAAGATTATTTCCATTTATCCTAAAAGTAACTCTGAAATGAATAAATGGATCAAAATCAGTAGGGATTCCAAAAGAAAAAGAAGAGACACCATCTATTAATAAGAAATGTCCCATTGTCAAATTCCATTTGAGCTATAGATGCAAGTCTCCCTGAAAATCAAACACCTGCTGTAGACATTTGTGTTTGTTTGACATGTCAAGCGTCACCAAGCAGGTCAATAAAAAAGCATGTGTGCTCTGCGATAATTCAACATTATCTGAGTGACTCTGTCAACAGCTGAGACTAAAGCCAGCCTTATTCCTGACACACTCTCTGCAATAGCACACTCTGTGGGTTTGCTTCTGTCCTTTCCTTTTGTTTATCCATGTGAGTGTGTGCTCCACTTTATGTGTGTGGGTTGAGTGGATCTCTCTTTTCACCCTCACCATTACTGCATGAAAGACCTGTCACTCTGGATTAACTCTATCAAGATCGGCCTCTCCCCTCTTTTCTATGTGTGTGTTTGTGCATGTGTGTGTGTGTGTGTGCGTGTGCGTGCATGTGTGTGTTTAAGAGGGGGGTGAACTGGGTAGTAAAGCCATTTTATGGCAATTGAAGGTCATAACAAGCAACAGTCCTGCCACTAGCACTTTTTAAATATATGTATATACTAATGAATAAATCCAGTCAAACAACTTATTTAAAAAAAAAACAAAAAACAAGAGACATCTTCACTAATTTCATTTAATGACAATGATGTTAAATTGCCATGAACAATGTGAATTTCCCCTCTCTAATTCATTTTCACATCTTAACCTGTGGATGTGTGCTGCCGTGACTGAACATCTCTCCGCAGGGCTGCGCTCTTGCTCCATGTCCCAGATCGACTGTGATCAGCATCGTTTCCACGCAGGACAAGTGTCCCGCAGAGGCGGTCCAGTAACAAAACATTACAATCAAACCCGCACGCGCACACACTGAACCTGGTCCAACAAGGGACTTACAAAGCCTCGCGCGCACGGCGCACGCACCAGTAAACCACAGTAGTACAGCAGAGAGGAGGTAAAATGAAATGAGGGGGTTTAAACCCGCGTCGTGATCTCAGCAGACTGTCGGACTTATTATTTGTTTTTATTTTATTTTGTTGTTTTTTTTTTTAGACTGAGTGCGACAAGTTGCCTGCATGCGTCTGGTGAGATGTGGATGAAATAGAGGAGCAGACAGGCAGGAAGACACGAACAGAAGCTGGCGTCCGAAATGTTGCCTGCGATGCGCAACTCCACTAAAGGGCCATTCCGCTGAATTTAACGACTCGTTCTCAAACTGCGGCTTGAACCCTGTAAAACTTCTACTCAGTCTGTGAAAACTTGAAAC